GGTAAGGGCAAAACCTGTTATCTAGAATTGGAATTGTTGAGGGGGGTATCCCTCTGTCCCATTTCGCGCCTGGTATATTTTTTGTATAAGCCAATGGTAGTGTAAGCCTAAGCCAATGGTAGCGTAGGCCTAAGCCTACACCACGTAATGAATAGGCCTTTCACCTTGTTCGCTGATGGGGGGGGGTGTTTCTGCCCGAGGTAGATACCGCGGGCGGCCTGGTCTTGACACGGATTACGTATTCTCGCTCTCGAACGGGGGGAACACGACCTAAGAACATTGTTCTCAGAACAGGATCACACACCCTCACCTCGTCAGGATTTTACGCGAACACTGGGAAAAACTCGTGAGATTTGATTTTTAAACAATATGTTTTGCAAAGTGAACATTAATAATTTTCCATGACAAAAATGAATTTTGTAAATGGAAATTAAAGAAGTTAGCCCAGTTATCCGACATTAACTCTCGAAGAATGCACAAGGACGCTGCCATGTTGTATGTTGCTTTCCACAAATAACCACCAGCTGTAATAACCGGTTGTACGTTCCTGGCTTTCGAGCGGCCGACCCACAAACAACAAATCGAGCTGTTCGTGAACAAAAGAGAACAAGCCGCCTGAACTCCGCTAATTCAAGGCCCATTAAAAACAGTGTAAAATCGGTCTTGTTCGGGGTCCAATAACGTGTGTACCAACATCCCTGAGATATCTAACACGTTAAATTATTTTATGGTCCCTTATCTTTTACTTTCTTTTCAATTTTCTGTGGGTTAACCGATGACATTTTGAGTTATTCCCACAAAACAAAATTACCCCTCGTAAAGTGATTTTTCCGAAGTTTGCTTGCACGAACCTCAGATGAAAGCCCAAAGACCCAGGGAGTTGATCCTGGCAAATATTTACACAATCTCACCATTTTGTGGGCCATACAGTCTCCTTTTTCAAAAGATACTGTGGGGGCACTTTTAATGCAAATGAGCTTGCCAGAAGTTCTCACTTGATTTAATGGACCGCACCCCTAGAGTCGCCTTTGCCGAGAAAAGTGCGCCCTCTCTTGGTCCAGGCTCATAGGACAATCGAGAACAAAAGTTGGTGTGGTTTGACAGTAGGAACAAGACCAAACTGTGTAAAAGTTGTTTAGTTTTTTAAAGACATGTAAAGTGACCAGCTGGCTAGTTTTTTCTTTTGAAATTGGGCCCACGTGCTCTGAACTCAGATTGTGGAATTCCTAATAATTTACTCTTAAAAGTTTATAATGTAAAAGTAAAAATCCTAGTGTAAATGTAACACCTATGTGTCAGCTCAACAGTTTTGCATTATAGAAACTGTTCAAAATTGTTTGTGATCCAATAAATTGGTGGACATTTTTAAGGCTTGGCCCATCTTTTCCCTTTAGTATTTTTAAATTTTTTTTAACATAGAATGTGTCACCTAGGCCTAAGCCTACTGCATAACTGCTTAATAAAATGAACTACATGCACAACACTAGGTTTATGGTGGTGACTACACAGATCAAAGAGAAAATAATATCTTTTAATTTAAACAGACGGTAAATTGTGAGAACTGGGGTGTTCAGAACTTGTTCTCTGATAGTTTAATGGGATCTTTTATAAATTTTTTTTTTTAAATATTGTGATATGTAGATAGGCATATAGAGTGTTTATTTTATAAATGACAGAATGTAAGCAGAGCATTTTACACTCTTTTTACAATAATTTTCAGGTCCTTTAGAAAATTTCTGACTGATTATTCCTGGGTAGCATTATACGGTGTCGTCACTTGTCCTCCCCTCATGGTGTTCCTGACAGCTGTTTGCCAAGAAAATTTGGAGATAACAGCACATAGAGCGACCATGCAAGCACAATGAATAAAAAAAAACAAGCCCCCCCCCCTATTCCATGGATGCATTCAACTTCGTCGTCAGGAATAATACCATCATATTCAGCATCACTCATTTTCCATGTGCTGATATGTTGCCTCTAGATCCCATGTCATTCTCCGGCAAAGTTTCATATAATCCACGTCGCTGGCCTCATCAATGAGAAACACACCAGGGGTTGCTATGACTGCGGATGCAGTCCAAGCAACGGCATTGGCTTTAGTGGTTAAAGACGGGGTTCTTGTAGATTACCAGATAGCTTTAGTGTTGGAGATAGCTATCCATTTCCAGATGGAAGATGAAGTAAAGAGAACATCAAGGGCAGTGAAGATTTTAAAGACGAGACCCCAAGTGCTGAATGCGTTTCCTGCAATGAAGCTAGCGCCATGAAACTTGGTTTCCATATCGACGAAAGAAACGAAGCGAGCGACCCAATCAAGAGGCAAATTGCAACGAAGGCATATTGGAAACACATCAAATGGAAGTGTCGTCAATTAGCAGACATATGCAAACTAGCTCAAGACGGGTAACAAAGTCGAGCCCGGTCCAACTTTACCGGTTGTCTGCGTCGAGTGGCTGAGCGACCTATGCATGTTCAAGCACGTACGTTGGCATGACGGGGTACAACGATGTTCTTTTTGCCCAGTACCACTCATTTTGTTCATTTCCCCCTTATTACTAACATACACAGCCCCAATCGATCATAAACACCATACTACATCAAACTGGGGTACCACTTTGGCTTCAAGAGGTGTTATTGCCACCTAAGGGGCATTCTAAGCAAAAGATTTCCGAGTTTCGGAAGCCAATTTCTTTAATATTTTGGTGGAATGACACGTCACACAGCGTCTCTTCCACAACTGCCTGCGTCTTTACTTCTTGCGTATCGTCGGCGTTCGTTACGACCAAATGGAAACCAGGCTTAACATACTGCGAAGTTTGCAACTGATAATGAAGCGATCAAGAAGATTAGTTAGGTACTTGGCACAACGACCTCAATTTGTACACAGCGACACAGCTTAAAATCCATTTGAAGCAAGATATGGGACGGAGAGAACCCCCCCCGCCTTTGCGTTGGTCATTGTATGATCGGAATCTCAGGAATTCTTTACAGACTTCTAGAGGGATGTGTTAGGTAACAATAGTCTAGAGTGTGCATAGGGATTGGACAGGTAAGGGGGGTACCCCTCCGTCCCATATCTTGCCTGGCATATTAAAAAATGTTACCAAAGAATCCAATTATCAATATACCTATTACAATAACCAGTTTGAGTTGAAGAAATACATTTTAAGCCAAAAATACAGGTAGCACACTGGCAGATGGAAAACGAGTGGCATTGTTATCTATAACTGCAGTATATTTGGATCGAAATGTCCTTTCCTTCTGATAACATCTACATCATGTACTACGTTGTGCCTCATAAACGGCTGACCACAGGCCAGGTTGAGGAATGATCGATAGGCCTATACAGTCAGATTTAACTGAGATGCACCATTAATCACATTCAAGCCCATTACGATAACTGTCATTTCATTTTCTGAGAGGCCATTCAGGGGAAATTAAAGGTAGCTTTCCTTTGGAATGGTCTTCATCCGTATTATTTAGGGACCTGTAGCTAGCTGCAGTTTAACGTGTGCGATTAGTCCTGTCAATTTGGATGCTCAGTATCTCAGTGTTTTTGTCAGGCTAATAGCAAAGCGTTGCTATTGGCCTGACAAAAAACTCAAATGTGAAGCATTGCCATGAATTACGTTTCAGCGGGGAGGCGAATAAAACGCACGTACCTATCCTAAGTCTCTTGATTATGGGGGTGAATTCCGGGGGATGGGGTATATATCCCCCCATTTTTTGGAGGGGGGAGTAGGCATTTGAATCATTTTGAAAACTGCCGATCGGTCGCCGCCGTATTCAAGAAAGAAGACCACATGAATGTTTTTCGCCAAAAGTTGGGGCCAGTAAACGCGCAGCAGACGAAAAACACTTTTTTCCAGATAAGCGGACGATTGCAAAACACGCATGCGTATTGACAAATATTTCCCACTCTACCATAACAGGAATTTTTTCGGCGGTGAAATAGCGTCGCGTAAGCGAAGAATTTTCTGATATTCTTAAGCGTTAATTTTTGCTTGCGGTAAACAGTGCCTTGAATTTGGCACAAGTCAACACTCCACAAAGAGCAATTTCTGAAAACGTTAAAAATCGTGACGATTCCAAGTAGTGGCTGTGGGGTGCAAATTAGCAGCAGCTACCAGACTGCGATGAGATACCCATCCCATTTTACGAGCAAATTGGACTGTTGGAAATAGGTTTAAGGGGGCAAAATGTCAATTTTGCAACATGAAGAAAAAACCTAGCTGAGCGGTGCTTGGGTTATGTCTCTTATCTCGCGTATTCCTGCCAAGTGATCACAGAATTCGGTCACCATAGCTGTTACAGACACGAGAATAAATGAATCAACGAAATCCTCTTATTTCTTATTTCGATTTAATGAGAAAACCCCAAGGCTGTTTTACAGTACATGCAATCTTGTTAAGAGAACCGATATTAAACCCACAAACCGCGTACAAATAAGTCTGCATAAGAAGATGCTCTTAACCCAATAATCCAATATTTAAAAATCACTGTAGCGATACCGACAGCTTGTAAAATAACTGCTGATCGAAAATAAACTACATCTGAATACAATACAGAATGAAGATTTTCACGTATCTGTTAATATTGCAAGCAAATATACAGCAAACTCCAGGGAGGATTGGCCCTAATGATGTAATCTAAAACATGGCAATGCGACACAGTTCACTTGAAGTTCACTTCTAGTATACATGTTTGTGACCATAATGTTCACAGATCAATTCAAATTAGTAAGTGCACGTTGAACTGGTGGCATTTAGTCAATGTTGCAACTTGGTTAAACATCAAAATCCTCGGAAATTAAAAAACATTTACACCACATTTACATCATGCAAGGTGAATAATTTTTCAATGAATTTTTTTTTTCAACAAAAACATTGATTTTACCTCAATAAGCCAGTTTGGAGAACACCTCAGCACATGTACCGATGTTGCAACAACATGGCCGTAAATCGGGGGGGGGGGGCTACTGAACCACCCCGCCACTTTTTTAGTGGGGTGGGCCATTGAAACCCCCCACACATTTTTTTTGCGATGAGCAAAAATTTAAAGCAGATTGTGATGAATTCTTAGGATTTCCCAATGACTAAAATGTTTGCAACTCACCGAAACGGGAAAACATTTTTAAAAAGCCATAAATATGTCATTCTGATGCAAGATTCTGCATGAATTTGACACACATTACAGATGTACATCTTTATCATGGATCACCCCTATATAGTGTATAATGGTGTAGTCCCCCCCCCTTTCACTGCCGGGCAAGTCATCGATTCCCCCCCCCCACCCCACCTTTCCCTATCCCCCCAATTTCCAACACAGATTTACGACACCGTGCAACAATGATTGTTTGTGTAATGGTGTTCATTGGTTCATACTTTGAGTATTCAGAACCGAGTTCGTAACATGTCGAAGTATGTATAGGCCTAGTTTACGGTATTCCAAGAGCACTACTCTCCACAGACCCTTACATTATACACATGTTGGAACAAAATATTAAATAAAACAAAAATGAAATGGACATGGGCCCCAAAGTTCTCAAACGATTCCAAACAAGACCTGGTGGCATAAACGTTACCACTGACTGTGTATGGGACAGTTGCTCACTGCGGAGGAAATCATCATTTACTGTACCATCATTACAACAGCTTTAACTTGTTAGTCTCCGTAAAATCTGTCATAAGAGGGTTAAACAGTGGTATATGTTAGGTCAATGGTTGGAACTTAAACAACCTAAAGAACTAACTACTATCCACAAGTTCAGACCACTTTTCACGGATGAATATCTAACTAGGACTTGGTCATGCCACTTCTTGTTCGTTTTAAGACAAAGTAAATAACAGGATACACAAACATAGAAATATACATAACTGGATATAAAGGACTCAATAAAATAATGGCATAAAAACATCTTAAATTGCCAAAAGTATATTTCAATTCACAATGCCCACTGCAGTTTTTCTAGCTCCTGCGAATTCGCATTCTCAAAAGCTGTCCATTCGAGTTGTGTAATGACCAAATAGGCGTGGGGACCATGCATTCCAAATGACTAAATATGAACACTCTACATATCACTACACTAGCAGAGGAGTATTTATGTAAAGCAAAGAATTCAAGAAGATGTTTGTAATAGCAAAGCTAATGAAATAAAAACATCCTACTAACCATCATACGGGTATATATGCGTGCTGATGCAAGTTTCACCATCTACAAAACAATTGCGGCAGAACGTCCATGAGCAGTCCATCATGAAATTATGCCTTAATATACTCCAGTGCTACTATTCTATGGGCTATCGTCTTTTTTAATATTCAGGCGAACATTGAGGGGAAAAAATCAGAATTCCTACCAAACTAAAAACAGAAACAAAATTCAAGATGTATTTTGCGTCGGGGAGATGTTAATGTATAACAGGTTTTGCCCTTACCCAACGTATGTATTAATAAACACTGTATACTCAGTGCTTGTCCGAGAGCTTCCAAAAAATTCACAAGCATACTCGGATGGGACTCGAACCCACGATCTCCTGCTTACTAGTGCAGACGTCTTAACCCTCGACCACCGAGCTTGCTGTGGTCAGGTGGTCGGCTGGCCGGTCCGAGTCAGGTGTAGCCGAGTAAGCTTGTGAATTTTTTCGCAAGCTCTCGGACAAGCACTGAGCATACAGTGTTTATCAATATATATACGTTGGGTAAGGGCAAAACCCGTTATAAAGAAATAAACTTGTTAGATTTTAAACAATATTCAATAATTTTTTTCCTTCCATACGATTAAAATATTAATTAAAACCTCTCTTCTCCTTTAACGACAAATAAAATATGAGTTGGTTAAGTACTTGCTCAGTGCTAGTGGATGCAACAGACCTGTAACATAATGACGTCACACTATATTTATACATGTATGTACATTTTCCTAGGGCAATGAGGTGGGACGCGATCCATCGAGTCCCTGTAGGGAAGTGCACATGTAAAAAAAAGTAACATCATTAAATTTCATGGTCTTAAATCTATTTGAGTTAGGTATTCCACCAACCCATCCGAGATCATTTAGGAATAGCAATACGCGGGCCAAGTCTGTCCTATCAGCGAGGCCATGCGCCAACTTGATCAAGCAAGCGTTAAGCCCTTCGGGTAAGCAAGGTTTACAGTAACCCCTTTAAACACTTCACACCAAAAACACAACTTTCGTACAAAAAGTAACTGCTTTAAAAGTAACCCAGCCTAGCATCTCCATCAGAAATCCTTCTCAAAGGCAAAAAACACAAGCCCTGTGAATTTTGATGCATGGGTAACTACACTAATCATCGTAAGTAACTTCCCACTAGTGATACCACAAAATGATAATCCAGAGAAACTCTATCCTTTATAAGGGAGCATCCAAAACTAAAGCACAGTTCACATAAGTGACTTGTATTTCGTCGTCATGGGAACTGCATGTCTGCCAAAGTACAAACAATTGGCATCAAACTGTAAACACATTGTACTATGACAATGAATCTATTAACCAGTTTTCAACATATTCCAATCTCTGACAATATTTTACAATTATACTATTTCTCGTATCCTATGATTTGGTTTTTGTTTTTATGTAATCCCTCAAAATTGCATGCTTTAATCAACTATTTCGCTGTTAAATTTTTGAAGTTAATATTGTACAAATATTTAAATAACCAATTACAGAATATCTATTCTCTAATATTGTTCTAAATACTCAATTGTACAGCACACATTTAAACTTCTATTTAAAACCTAAATCAAATAAATATACTCAAGGTATAATAATCGACAAAGCATAATCATATACAAAGCTCTATATTATTCAGTAACAAATACAGTTAAAAAGATGGTATGATAACTAGAATCACTTTGTCCAAAGAATATTGCAATTTGCAGGAACAATCCAGATTTATTAGTTATTAATTTACCCTGTTAGGCATGGAAGCTGTTGAAAATTAGCTTGGATTATGAGGGTATACTGACTAAGTGAAGACTACCTATAATTCACACTTTGAACGTTGCTTGCTAGTGATTTCAAACATTAATGCCACACTACTTGTAGGACAGATTAAAGGACCTTTGGGGAAAAGCAATATAAAGTCTGTCACTCATGCATTAAATTCGAAAAAATGTTAAAAATAAACAGATTTGATTCTTTATGACACCAATATCGGTGAGGCATTCTGGCAAAATGAGACAGAACCGAACACAGAGTATAATGGGGAAAATACTTCGTTTAAAGATTTATTGGTATTTGCAATCTTTGATAGTCTCCTAAACACATTTTAAAAGAAATAGTATAAAATATGTGATGGAACTGTTTCCTCCAAGAAAAGCAATTGGTCCCATTCATGTTAACACATATGAATCTTCAAAGGTGCTTTCTCAGTGCGTCACTTTATAACATGTCCATCACTGCAAACTTTTAACAGCCCCCTTTGTCATTGAAATGTCTAACTGAAGTGCAACAAACAGTAGACAGATTTTAGATTTTTTCCTAATGCCAGCAATGTCCCCCTCGTCTGTTAAGCTCTGTATAATTTTCCCAGAATACCTCATATTAACTAAAGAATCCTAACATTAAGACTGCAAATGGCAGCCTATTGCAGGTGTAACCATATCACCGCTGTTTCCACAAACTGAACAGTTGCCTGTCCGTCTCCATGCACACTTAAATCATCATCTCATGAAATCAGAGTTGATATAAATTCAGCATCACACACATCACACTTTGAATCGCTTTTAATAAGTTTATTCAAATGCAATGACAACAAATGAGCGTACCAGGTAAAACTTGTTGACCCAACTCTGATGCATTCGAGTTCAGTGAGATAGCTCTTTCTGATGTTTTGGGACAGTTCTACACTTATGATCATTCCAAATAACAAAGAACAAAACAATGTTTGTCTCATTATGTACAAGTACCAGTATGCATATATGTGCTGAATCCATGCATGCATGTTGTGTGAGATGCACTAACCTTGAGGACTGCCTACTCTCAAGTGTTTTCCTTGCCTATATTCAAAAGTTTTATAAACTAACATGTTGGCGTTTGAAGTGCTCTCAAAGGTTTGATGCATCCTACTTAAAATCTCCTTATAAATAAGGACCAATGCTTGTAAACCAACAGCCATTGCATTTATTTTTTACTGTAGTTGCAGCTGAAAGCAAAAGAAAAGCTCCAAGCAGGTTGTTGTCAGAATTGCCCCTTTGTTCAGTCGCTAATTATGCTGCATTACGATACATCAGTAAAAAAAACTCACAATGTTGGCACCATTAGCTTCCTAGATGATCCACATAGTAAAATGTGGGTACTTGCAGACAATGTGGACAGTCTTGTGAACTGGTTTCCTATCCACGTCACACTAGAGACATTTAAATACAGAAATCCCTGGCGATAATAAGGGGACCAGATTGAAACTTTGAGGTCTCCAGATTTCAAGTTTTCCACAGTTCCTGAATATCTCTACAACCAAGTTCAATCTACATATTCATCCAGTGTTTACACTGTAATCGATTCATAATTCATTTATAGATCCGTTTGGGTTTATTTCAGCCAAATATGTTAGAGTTGTATGTAAAACTCTTACCTAAGGACATCTGCTTTTTAAAGAGTAAATTGTGTGTAGCGAAGCTTCATTTCTTATCATTTTGTACAAAATATAAGCATAACCAAGAACGAAATCTAAGCTGGTGAAAGCAGTCAGACAAACAAAAGCTGGGCATGCACATGACGTACTAGCTCCCAGTGTGGTCACATGGCCACCAAAAAGAACCAACAATTGGAAACTACAAATGAGTAAGTGGTAGTGATCAGTCAAACTCCAAGTCAGGGATCACTGCAATTGTGTGCTGGATACTGTGACTTGTCTGATGCATTAGGGAGCAATGACTCATGAAGAAGTTTTGGTATCTCTTTACACTTCTTTGTGACTAGTTTGGCTGTGGTTGCTTCCATACTAATTGAAAAAACTCAAGCTTAACGGAAGTACAGATGCAGTCATTTTGAAGTCGCGGAGGTATTCATGAACACAATATCCTTTTCTCTTGAAAGAAATGAAGGAAGATTTCTAGATACATGAGACAAAATACAAGAAAGTTATCTGATTTTAACCAGAGTTTACTGTACTTGGGGACATCCACACAAGTACCAGCTTATTACTATCCCTTTCTAATATCCACGAGTGTCAACAGCACTCTGCCATAGTTCCATAAAACACAGTTATTGATAGATGCACCAAAATGTGTGAACCCATCAAGCAACCCATGTTGCACACTTACCGACCTACTGGCACAGTCTGTCAGAGTGATATTTCTCATGGAATACACAGATCCTACCTTTACAAACATGTTCTCTGACATGAAGTGGTGACAGTCAATATTGATGAAGGGGATCTTGCTGTTGCGACCTCCCACTAGCACTAACAAACTGCTGGAGTTTCATAAGATTTATGGTTATATCTCATATAGTCAATACCATAAAGATCTTAAACTGACATATATGTGCATGAAATGTAGGCACAGAAGGGTGAGTGTATGTATTTGTATAGTGTATCTCTTTTACGGAGTGTAGATTCAATGTGCAAGTAAAGGAGTCATATTACAGATATCAGATAGGGTTTTATCAAATGAAATGTAGTAGCAAAGCATATCTTTCTGGTCTCCATAAATCTTTCTACTCTAAATTTGCAGAAGTTGCTGTTGGGTGTGGTAACACTAGAGATGAGATAGACCTGAGGATGAGTGGGGATGACATCTGTAGACCTGTCTGAGTGGCTGAGAAGGTATGCATCACATTGGTTAGCAGCAGCATACAGCAAAGTCTCCAACATTTATCTTCATGCAAGTCACGTCAATTCCTTGTAGACAGAAGGCAAATTTGTGGCAGCATAGCTAAAACCACAGAAAGAAGTAAAACCAAGAAAAAAATCACAAAGAAAATTTGTTTACAACTGAAACTTCCCTCATTCAAACCCACTCTCTGGCCCTCTACTTCCCAAGGTTCAGCTCTGGAAATAATCCCAGTTACCTAGAATACAGTGTAATTCAAATTTATACACAAATCAATGTATTAACCTAAAGTTTAGCGAGGCAAACTCTATAATACACTAGGCACCCTAAAAAAACTCCATCTACTGTAAGATGACATTTATATTGTAGTCTCTATATGCATTTATTATATGGTCCTGATGAAACTCACCAGTTTAGAAACATAATGGGATGCCTGTCAAAAAAGCAATGCTTGCTTTTTAAGTTCCACTTGGCGCCATCTTGGCAGCCTGAAGTAATCTTCATAAGGCATCTGAAAGGCTCTTAAGAAGTCCTCAGCTGAGAGATGAAGCTGCAAGGAAAAATCATAGCAGTGTTTCAAAACCCAGGAAGACGTCTCACCTGTCAAGAGGACCAAGTCTCATGCTCTCTGGTTATTAATTCATAAAATCCATCAACCTGAAGTTGGCCTTCACACCCTTCATTTGTCAGCTTTGGTACTTTTCCCACACTTGGCATTCAAGTGAGCTCATTATCCATACATGAACTGTTTCAGAAAGCAAGGAAACAGAGCTGTAGTCAAGTTCATCACGGGTCCAGTCCTGGGTCCAATCAAAAGACCAGACCCAAGCAGCAGGGTGAATAATAACAAAGGAATGTTCTTGTCACAATTTAGTTGAATAGCTTCTGACTTGGCTTGAGATGTTGTATAACTTGAGACAAAGTCAACTACAGCCCTGCAAGGCAATGTGACTGTTTGGCATGTGCAATTAGCATACTTCAATAATGTGACAGTGTAAATTACTGAGATGAATAATTAATTTCAAGATGGATAATTACAGGATATATGAAGCACTTTGACTATCATAATATATCCTTAGGACATCCTGGCAAACCGGGCTTCTCCTAATATGCCAATGTCCTTAGGCTTCATCACAATAACCAAAATACAGTGCATATATTCCAGATGTCTTACCTCTAGATTTTTTCTGTCAACATCCTTGGGTAACCTGTAGTTGGTTGTTAATAATGTCGCTAGTGGGTATATCTGAAATACAAATCAATCAAAATACGAAACATCATTCTGCATCCAATGTATTTGCGAAACAACATCATGTTATTCAAACTAATTGCAGACTGGTTGCCAAGGTAACACAACCCAACACAATCAACCTCACTCTGTTCTAGATAAATGCTTCAACATTTCTTGAAGACAGGCAGATACAATGTAAACTTTTCTTTGGCTTGAATACACATCTAAGTATATTTCATTTATAATGAAACCCATAAAGGATCTAATCCTTCAGCAAGAAAAATGAAAATCAAAAAACTGGGTATAAACACAGTTTCAGATATTTTTAGACTCACGTGCGGAAAACATGTATCAGCTGGAAAAATTTTAAAACAGCTTGATAGAAAAATGTCTAAAATGTTCAATCCACAGCAGGTGTTTGAATTCCCCTTAAATGAATGAAGTCACCTTAAAATCATTTAAAGAAATTTACAATGATGTCTACAAATACCGGGTAAAAAGACATGGGTGTAAGCACGAGGTTCACACTTGTTAGAATTGATAGAGAATACTGTGTGTGATATACATGCAACAAAGCCAAGCATGCATGGGCGTGATGCATAAAGCAGTCAAAAAAAGTCATTTTCATGGCACTGATGCTGTATGCTTGCACTCAGGAACAGCTGGTCCTCAACATAAATATTACAGCATAAAATTTGAGGTCTGTACATTTTGTGATATGGCTATAGACCAGTATACCTTGGTCAGCACCATGAAGGAAGGACACAAGGAGTTTGAACTGCCCCTGCAATAACATCTGGCCAATTACTACTTTCAAGTAAGTGCTTCCTAGCACCATCTATTTCACAACTATAAGACCCCTTTGTACCCGATGATCATTGCAGCAATCTTTCACTAGTAACTTGAATCCTTAAAGCTTTGTGTACTGAAGTATAGGAAATGGAATATTCTTATCTTCGTTGGTGCTTGGTACGATCTCACAACAGTGTTGTAGTACTTGTACTTGAGTACTTTATTCTGTAGTTGTACTCATGAACATGTACTCGTACTCGTGAGAAAAAAATGTCCCGTACTCATACTCATGGAATATTACACCACTCGGGTGGCTAGTCAAGGCCTTCAGTAGAGGCAGCATCAATTTAATTTAGCTTCATAGTTAACATAAAAAAGCCACAGCAGTGCATTTCATGGAATGAACAATGCGGTCATCATAACCTGATAGCCTTGTATAGTAAAAACCAAACTTCCCAACACCCAAAAGTTCTGCCCCCTGATGCATACACTTTCTAATGTGGCCATTAGCCAAATAAGTGCGCACATTGTTTGTTCTATTTGCCTGTGTGGTACAATCACAATCACTTTCTTATTACAAACATTGCATGGATAATGGAACAGTGTATCAAAAAAAAAATGTTCTTCACAGTGGCAAAAGTAGGTCTGACATTAGGGGTTTCTTTCTCTATTTCCCGGTCCCAGCGATAAGTTGTAGTTAATTGCAAGTAATGCACAAGTATCACTGGAAGATTACTGGCCCCACTTGTCCGGCTAAGCTGCAGGCAGTAATCAGGCATTTTGGGAATATTTTGGATTATTTGTCTGACTGGGTGGTGACGATCATCAAGCACTTTAAAGTGCCAGAGTTATAACTCCTGCATCCTTTCTCCACGGTCAGCACTAAGTTACTGGGCAGATTTCCTTTGTTTGGAATATTTGGACTGAGTTGTGGGGACTCTAGTGTGTCCCACAACATTTCAGCTGCCACATTAACAATCATACAATACCAACAACTACAGAACAAGGATATATATGCATGTCATGTGTCTCTTCCCTCATCACTGAGTTATGCATGTACCACACAGTAAAATGGCCCATTACAGGCACTGAAATGCATGTAGCATAATTTTTCTTTAAACTATTGCTCTGCTAATTATAGCAATGGCAGTGCCCCAAACTGTTGGTTAAAGGCATATCATTATCAGAGCCACTGTGTACCAACATGTACATTCAGATGTCCCTCTAATGCCATTGCCACAAACACTAACAGTATTTGCACACAAGGCTTGGCTTTGTCATGTACCAAGCAGTGTATTGTCAATGTGCCTTCATTTGGCACCCAGGGGTAGTAAGCAGCACGGTACTCTATAATTGCCACAGAAAGCTTTGAAACGGCGTTAATATACAGTGCTGAAAAGTTAACACTAGCTATGAACACAGACACTTTCACCACTTATTATGCAAAATCTGCATGCTCAATCAAGGTCACATAAATCAAGGAAGTACTGCCAATTACAGCTTATGTGGCATGCAAGCTCAGACAGTGGTTTGGAAAAATGCCCACACTTCACCGCTTTTATCACTTATTTCAGCTGCGGCAAATCAGCCCAATCAAAAGTTTTTAAATCATGTTTATGTGAAACGTCGGAAAAGAAAATGCTACGATAGATCATGAATTATTAGGAATCTCAATCAATTCATGTAATAAGTTATTAGAAATGAAAAGAAGTAGCTTATTTTGTCACATAATGATGACAGGTGAATCAAATGAATGACCAACATCAAAATGCAATGCAATTAAACCTTTGGCCAAAACAGCATGGTAGACTCTTCAGAATGAAGGTGAAGAATTTCATTTCTGTTTACTTCCTTCTCTCAACACATCAGTTACAGTCTGATTTCAAAACTGACAGCCAAATTATATTCATTACATTACAATTTCTTCTACACTAGAAGACAGCTTTATAGGTGTTCTAATTTTTGTGCATGAAACTTGACAACCTGCATTTTCAAACAGTAGTTAACTGTGAGGAAACACTGCTACAGAAAAATAACCTGCAGACCTGATGGTGACTGGTATAATGAGCCATCAAATGAAAATGGTTGCCAAAAAAGTTGGCAAACCTCCCTTTCACAAAACAGAAGTTATACCACAAAGCTACAGTTGAAAATCCACAAGCAGGTCAATACTATCCCGTTTATCTTACTAGTCCCTAACCTATAATTGTTTTTAATCAATAAAAGTTAAATTTGTGAAGTCAACAGCAGAGCTTGATTAATGCGGTGAATATCGGACAGAGTGCAGTTTTGGAATGGCAGTGCTTCTGAACTATTCTATCACCATGCTGACTTGCTTTTACCACACCAAATGCTACTCTACCTCTTTTGTGGGTTTCTGTGATCAGCCATTGATTGGTAAATAAAAGGAATAAAAAGATTGATTGTATGAAGATCATTGGACTTAAATGATCCTCCAATAATGTATGGAAAGAACAGCAGAAAATGTCTACAACCACCATGATTGAAATATCTACAACATAATCACCAATGCACTGATCATTATCAGCTGACAAGCATCACTTGCACATTTTCCTATCCTTAAAGCAGCACTAAAATATTAAAATCTTACAGTTGAAATTTCAGCGTCATGCATATTTTTTTTGAGAAAATCTTGTGGATAGACAAAGGAAACAGCACAACCATCAGTATATTACTGAATCTAAAATGCAAAGGTCACATCACAAAATAAGGAGGGTCTGACGTTTAACTCGTAGCAAACTCTTTCTCCAGGGCAAAGGTCACACAAAGTGTGACCTCCAATATGTTGCTTTTTTTAAAGAAATTGAAAGCTGGTGAATGAAAAAATATTGGACGCTTTTTAGAAAAGTATCCATTTTGTTCCCCTCCCACCAAAGTCATGGTTATGCCGCTTATCACACAGCGTCGCTCTAAGCATTTGATGGCTTCCAGTAAATCAGAACTGCTGGTTGTTAAAGGATATCTGTATGACATCTTCATTGTGATCTACCAGTCTGGAAATGGGCAACTTTTTAATAAATAATTCAAGTTTCTGTTGACTGACCACATACCAAGTGGAAATGAGAACAAGAGATACTGGCAACTCTCATATTATACGCCATGAGACTTATTTAGGAAAACCAACAATCAAGTAAAAATAGATATTTAATGTTGAATGAAAGATAAGTTCAGAAGCTGTCAGCTTGATTGCATCCTCCTTTGGAGTATGAAGTCAGTCAAAGACCTAGAAAAAACACCCAAACATTTTTGTTTAAAAGTCTCAATTTTCTTATGAGGTGGAAGCTGGCACTTTAAAGAGCTACTCTTTATGAAACTACACAGCCTGTATTGGTCATAACAACTTGGAAAGACACAAAAGACTAAATGAGATTTTTCCCAATGTCTGCTCTATGATAAACCTTGTTTAGTTATAATCATGCAAATCTGACAACAAGTTTAACGTATTATATCCAATTCAAGCATTTTTTGCTTAATTTGAGTATTTATTAAGAATTGTTTCATCCCAAAATCAAGAAGCCGCAAAAATGACAGAGATGCTGTAAATATGACAAACAGTAAATGCCTGAACTAAAAATGTCTTTCGACCAGAATGCAAAACTTGGTTTTTAGATTCAAATAGTCTGATTACAGAAAAAGTCTGAAATATCTGATGCCTGGTCAATGAAGCAGTGTCGAATGCTGCAAACAGGGGCTGATGTACATGTATACTGCCATTTGGGCAGTATAGCTGACTTTGAATTTCATATGATTTAGTGATCAGCTTATGCTTGACGTCATTGGTACATGTTGGTTTGTTTGTTAAGATGAAAAAGATACACTCACCACAGGTATGTTGGACATAGATTTGCCTTTCTCTTTAGTGGATGGTGTTATTTTTTCCTTTGAGTTTTTCATCTGTTACCGAGCAGTGCAAGTCAGTGAAGAAGGAAATGCAGTTAGTATCAAAATGAAAGAGCAATCATGTTAGTGAGAAGAAGATGGAGAGAGCTGGCTTCAATCAGATATCTGATTGGCGGAATGATTCAATGCATGCATAACTACAGCCAATAAAAAACACTCTGATTTCTACATTCGGACTCAATACAAATGCTGCTAAGTTTACGTGATGACTTTGAAAAATGTATGTGTAGTTCTGATTTCAATGTCTCTGTCTGTGAACTGTTCTGTTGGCACTGTTCCAGAGAAATTTAATTCTGAATCCTTAGAGGATTAAATTAAGCCAGTTCAAAAGACGGACTAAAAAAGTCTTGTAACTTCATCTGCAATTCTGTCAGACCTAATGAAATCCCTATTGCAGACCTCTGTAATTCAATTTCCATCATATACTCCAAGATGACCAATCCTCGGAATTTATGATCCATGCAGCAGTGCTATCCCATAATGCATCATTCTGGTGCTATGAGGGTCAACTTACTTGGGCCCCTTTACGGTTCTCTTTCCCTGCAATGCCTGCTCCTTTTACCTTTTGCTGAACAACGCTCGGCAGAGACCGCCCTCTAGTGATCCTCAACATCCGTAGCTCATCTTCAGAGGAACCCATCCGTGAGAAGTCTGCATCACTCGCGTAGCCGTTGGGGCTTTGGAAGCCTGATGGAGTCCGGTACCCCCCGCTGACAGGACTTAAATACCCAGGGGGGCTGAGGTAACCTCCTGGGCTCTGGTAACCATCTGATAAACCTGTTGCCATAGCAATGAAACACTGTTCCATTATGGTGTTAATAAAATTGTACTACAATCTTAACCTTTTATTCCATGAAACTAACTACACAGGCTTACAATACCATCACCTACAGTGTAACCTTGGTCAAGGCGTTCGTCATTTGTCGCAGCGCAGTGCCACCTGCCGCTCGAAATCAAGGCAAAGAGCAACCTCATGCAGTCTAAGAAATATGCAAATTAGCTGAACCAGAACGAACACCTTGGTGCAACTGTCCGCAGAGGCTGTATTGGACGGTGCTCATTATGCTAATGACAAGAGCCGATGTTTTAAATACGCTCATGGATTGGTTCATTGCTACATAGTAACTGCATAATTCAAGTTGGTCGTAAGGTGAAAGGTTAACTGAATGCACACGTGGCTATACATGTACATGACAAGTCAACAATATCTATTTTGCCAGCTGATCAGAGTAATTGGAGATCGAGCTCACCTTTGCTTTGCCTAACTGATTGTGATTGATGTTTTTCAAATGACTAGTGCTATGGGCTTTGTATTTGGTCTGAGGAGCTCTGAGCAGGAAGGTGTAGCCTGAAAAATAACAGATTTCCTGTAGCCTGTTGGCAAGTTCATGAAAACGTTGCGACCCGGCAGAAAGTATTCTAAGGCCTGCCACTGCTCGGCACAAAAGTCACCCAACATTAATTTATCTGCAGCGGAATTCAAGCAGCAAGACAACTCATTGTGCTACAGTCGTCTCAGAAGCTGGTCCACCATTAATTTTACATGGTTATCATGCATGCCAGTTCACGTTGATGCATATGTATAGTTTTGTATACTTAGCTGCGAGTGGTCACTGTGCATTCTTCACATGCCTTCATCTATTCATATTTGCATACGAGGTAGTGCGCTAGAAATCTAGTGCAAAAGTAAAGAAAAACATAAGCTTCTGCAGACGGTTGCACCAAGGCGTTCGTCCTGCTTCAGCTAATTTGCATATCTCTTAGACCATGTGAGGTCGCTCTTTGCCTTGATTTCGAGCAGCAGGTGCGCACTGCACTGCGCTGCGCTGCGCCGAATGCTTTGACCAAGGCTATCACCGGTGTGGCCACCCCAGAATGTACATTTTACTTTCCATTACAAAAGGTTTTAGAGATAAGAGTGCTCTCTTTGGTTTTTTGGTCTCAGGTTTTGGCATGATCATCATTGACTGAGCAAATACTCCCTGAGGGCACAGGGAGCAGTAACATATTTATGATGGCTAACTGGGAGGCCAAGTTTCACACACTTGAAAGGAAAAAACCATGTAGGAACATGGTATTACTGAATAGCGTTGAATCACTCACTTTGCATGTGCAAAGCTGAGTTCAAAGTTAGTTCAGTACAAGCTGGGTTCTGCTGTCTTTGGAAAACAGCTGCCCTGATAATTGACTGCTAAAAACTACAGACACAGACCAGTGTTGTAATTGAGTCTACAGTAAGTGTTTTCACAAGTCGTAAGTCCTTTCATGTGCCAACTCACTGGCAACATGATGAACAATGATAACAAATGCTTTAGTCACAATTCACTTGAACAGCTTATGACTTCGATTTAAACTTGAAGTCTTGGGATTTGTGACTCAACACACTCAACTATAAACCTTGACAAAGGCATTTTGCACAAAAATCATTAATGGAAAAGATGATTGAAATTTTTGTCAGAAATAAATGCTTTGCGTTGGAATCAAAATTTACAAGAAAATCGATGGTCTTCACATGAACAGTATTCCTTAATAAAGTAAGTAATTATGATGTCAAGAGAGAAACTGATACAATTTACACAGCCGTCAATGTGAAGACACTTCTTACCATCATTGAACCAACTTGGTGGACCACTTCTTGAGTCTGGGGGAAGGGAACTTGCTTTCCTGTAAGCTTCACTCTACAGCAATAAACACAGAAAAAAACAGCCAAGTTATCAGCGATTATACTGGAAACAGGAAAAATCCAACTGACATTATACTTTTCATTTTATGTTATTCATGGATCATTATGCATCGTTGCAGCTGGACATTCAGTATTGGTTTCTGCTTATTCTTGTACTTGTTTCTATGTCTGTTTTTCTTTAATATCAACCTTTTTTGCCTTGTGCCCTTTATTCAACACTATGACACTGATTACAGACAAAAATGCAAACACTAGGAGAAAAACCTTGACTTTCTAGTTCAAATTATTCCTTTAGAGTTTAATGATATCCCAACTCTTAACAAAATACAACACACTGCAACACACAGTTTACACTGTCAATCAAAAACTCTTCCAAATTGTTTTAAAACAGATACAACTTTTTTTCATTTTTTCAGTTAAGATTCCTGTTTGTCTCCACTGTATTTTAGACAGCCTTGATGTGATAAATATCAAGTAAACTGCACTGCACTGACGAATCACATTTAAACTGCCAATCATTGAAAAGACACTCAGGTCTCATTATTTGGGTAGAAAAGAAGTTCTTTAACCCGATACTTCAAACCTGAGAACAAGTTTGAAGGAATTCAAAGTACAGAAATTCAGAATAAAAACAAATACAAAGCAAACTGCTATATTACTGTCATACATGTAACTCGACATGACTGTACCTACCAAACTCATGTTTCGCATGTTTGCAGGCAAAGTAGCACTCCTTGCTCCATCAACTGTTCAAAAAAAGATACAATGTGTTATTCCACACACACCCAAAATCCAGTGACAAGAATCAGAAGGCATAACTGTGGACCATCCTGTCACAAGCATGTGGTACAAGCATTACATTTCTTTTAGACCAATAGGGTTTTATGACTTGCCAAAATGTATGCAAGCACACAAGTTTAAACCCATGCGTTAGTGTAACAGCCCCCAGGAATGGTGTCTTCTCAGATTTGTCTATAGGTTTCTATGGTGCAGACTTGGTTATGTACTCAGGGGATTCTAATTCATAAAGTCATGCCTTGGAAACTGCCAAATACACTGAATGAATTCAATTTTAAATTGATTATTGGAGATACTGATGAAAGCAGAAGTTCAGGATACATATCATTTATATGTAACAGGTTTTGCCCTTACCCAACGTATATTAATAAGCACTGTATGCTCAGTGCTTGTCCGAGAGCTTGCGAAAAAACCTCACATGCTTACATATCATGTATACAAGTTGAAAAGCTTTTCTAAAGCCTGTCATAACACATAAAGCAATATATCACAGGGAGACAGGAGATTTTATATCACCTTTCAGACCTCTTTGGGAAGTGGGGCTTAATTTAGGGATTTATACACACTCTGAGGAAGACGGGAAATAAAACAGTCAAAACAAATTGCCCTCTCATCTGCCTCTTTAGAAGCCATGGCCCATTTTTGCCTCCTCCACTATCCCGAAATAGGTCTGACAAACTATGATGCACTGCTGACTTGTTCACATCATCCATGCAAGCAAAGATCAGATCCCTGATTCAGGAATGAGACCTCTATCAGTCTACTGACCTGAGTTAGTTCATTATTCAGAAACAAAACCTCAAGTAGCATGCACAGACAAAAACAAGTCTAGTTATTGCGGACAATTTGGTAAAATTCTTAAGCTATATAGTCTAAATGTGTTATCTTGAAATTACCCAATAAACTTGAACGGCCAAGCTACAAATGTTGAAGTATAAAAAAAGGCAGTGACTACATATACTGTTGTGTTCAGAGAAGTATTACACACAAAACGTATCATCATTAAACACACACGTATGTACGTTTTCAAACTTGCAACTATAAGTAAAATGCAACTGCCCTATGAAAATTTGCCAAATATGATAATGTCCCAAGGACTTTCAGATAAACCTAAAAATCAAAAGTAAAACCTACTTGTATCCATGGATCAAGGTCACTTTAAACAGCCGAAAGAAACATCAAATTAGGCAAATATCTAATAGTAACTTTTCCACAAACACTTGACACATGACATGATTCACAAAGAACCACTATCAGCCATAGCAAGAAGTGTGCAACTACTTCACTGAAGCTAACAAATACAATTATGGAAAAGGCATGTGAGGCAAATGCACATTATGATTAGACTGTGGTAGTTATCACATTGCACATTTAGAAAAGCATGGCTTTATAACAAGGTATACAAATAATCTCAAGTCTGCAAAAAAGCATGGGTGAAAAGCTATGATGATATGTGATCTCTGTAGCAGTGAATACTCACTAGGAATGTACGAACCTAATAAGGCATCTATCTGCTCAAGGATAAAGTAGTTATTTTCAGTTAATTTTAATAAATCATGAAGTGTTGAATCACATAGGAATAAGGGCATAATGATCTGCAGCTTGGGCCATTATCAGCGTCCATTCTCCTAAGCTGGTCTTACATGATGATTAAGACCAGCCAAGCACATTATTCCCATTTATAAATATCTTTTAAATCAGAAAGTCAAAACAAGTTAAAGACTTAAAAATTTCCAACGATTTTGTTCAACAAACACCCCTCAAGTCATATTAAGGTATGTGCCTCATCCCATGAGTAGTCATAAACAATCCCCTGATATGGAGATTACTGGTAGCATGTGCATGTGGGTGGCAAGGAATGTGATAAGCCACTATAGAGTGAATTTGGGGCTCTCAAAATGTGAACTCATTGGTAGTACAATGTAAACACCAGTGAAGACTGTGACCACTCAACCAATACAGCTTATAAGGGAAAAGGGACCAGATTTCATGGGAGTCTAAATTTGAGGTCACACCAGGACCAAGTTTACCAGTGAGCAGGTGCTTTATCGAAATGACCGCACTTGGCTAGTAGGAATGGCTAAACTGGTTTTCAATTGACATTTAAAAAAAAAATTCTACCACGACCTGATAAAAGCGTACAATAATTCAAACAACCAAACTGTATCATCAATATCAGAAGATTCAAAAACTTTCACCGGCGCAAACAATAAGTTCTTGAGCATGTTGGTAATTTCCACAGCGTTCAGTTATTTTGACCCAGGTTTGAGATAACGCAAGCTAAGAATTATCGGGTTCTCTAATCGTCTCTTCTCCACCAGTAATTTGCATATACAGTAATCCCATGAATTACTACCCTTGTAAACCTCCATGAATGACCACTGTTAAAACAAACAATTAAATGACATCACAACTACAGTTTATCTACCAACCGAAATCCTCAGTGACACATCATCACACACCAACAGTAGATATCTATTCCAGTACACTTGCCTGTTAATTTCCCCTGCTCTGATCACATTAAATCCTTCAAAGGCAACTGGCAAGGGAGGGTCCAACCCTTTTAGTGGTACAGGACACAGGAGAAACCCAAGCCTACAGGCAGTTCACACATTCCTGATTTTTAAGCTGGATTGCTACAAATAGTGATTCCTGAGGAAACTGGGGAGTGATTCTTGGCTGATTCTGGTAGTTGGGTGAAAGATGGTTCAAAAGTGTGAAATACCCTGATAATTTTGGACATGTGTTATATTGTCAGGGTGATTCAGGAACAAGTTACCATTTAATTGTATTCTTCTTGTAATAATATCTAATTCTGGATATTCTTAAGGTATTCTTACATGTCTGATAGAGTTAATCTTGATGTCAAACAGTCAAGAATCAGCAAAATTGTTACAAATGTGTCAAAATTGTATGAATTTTAGAATAACTTGTGGCATAATCCTGGAGTTATTAATATATTACTCCGAACAAAATTGCTAAAATTTGTTTTTATTCTGCACAAATTGCAATTTAGGCTTCCAATTCAAACCTAATTCTTGATTATTCTTGTTTTATTCCTAAGTTATTCTTACAAACAATGAATTGGGTTAATTTCTCTCGATGCTATTAAGAACTTTTGGTTGGGATGGATCGTGATACTCGTGGTAATAATTTGAGAATGTGTGAACTGGCCTTCAGCTACAGCCAATTAATTTTCAACATTTACTGATGAGGCTATGACGTTTCACTGGAACCATTGAGTTGCAGCAAAACCATAAACAGGACTTAAAAATTGACTCCAACGTAAACAATGTTCCTGCATTTATCAAGTTAACCAATTACTGGCCAGCTTAAGAACGAGTTAACTTGTCACATTCATGTTTTAAATCAAAAGCATACATTAAGATGGCAGTTGAGACCCATCGCATATGTCAATACATGTACATCAATTCCAATCATCAATGAACATGTAAGATACACAGTCTGTGTTAAAAGGTATCATGCATTATTGAGTTACACTGTGTTAACCCAAACCAAAGCAAAACAAAGTTTATTAGATCATCACATGAATATCTAGTTTAGTTCAAGAAATTTAGTTCAAGATGAATAAATTGCAACTGGTGTTCAGATGCTGATGGTTGTTATCTTACTGATAAAGCACTGTTGTTGAGGGAAAAGTGGAATAAATAAACATCTTCTCTCCAGTTATCAGTTTTACATAAATGATGATAACTGATGAGTTTCTAGATGGCCGACAAGGTCAAGGTCACTTTGTTTGGTTGGCACAACACTTTAATCACAGAAAAGACAACAATTGTGAACATCATACTGCTCAAGCCAATGTTTACATCAAGTGAATGCAATGAAAGGACTGCTTACTACTGGATAGAAATTTTAGTCAACAACTAAACCGAAAGCATCAGGCTTTAACAATGTTGAAACTAATGTGGCACATCAAGGACAGGTTACTGAAATGGCAAGATTGGAGACAGTGCAGACCCAAGTCCCCTAAATATAAGAATGAGTTCTTTTTTAACAATCATATATGTGTGTCTGTGATGAAGTTTATGATCACTTCAAAAAGAAACACAAGTCACCAATATACTGACTTGTTTGAACCTCCCTGTAATGGCCCCGCTCAATTTATAAGAAAATGCACATGAACAAAAAGACCATTACCCCCAAGTTAAAAAATAATTGTCATTGTTAGTGCATGCAACTACCTCCCAACATGCATTGATAAAGAACCATGTTTACAAACCCTAGCAAACAATTTACTTTTTTAAATAAAACACAAATTAAAGACTTCATTTGTGCATTTTCAGGAATCAAATGCATTATTTGACCAAAGAAAAATAATGACCAATGGCATGATTTTGCCAGCATCTGCAACATGGAGAAAAGATGGAGAACATTCCACTGAGATTAAGGCCTGTTTAAAATAGAGCTGCATGCTGATAGTTCAGTGAAAACAGCCTGGAAATATTGGGCAACCAAATTTATGGAACTTCAATCTGCACAGCATACAAGTGTTTGGGTTTCCATTTGAGAAGTTATGCCACATGCATTCCTAGGGACTAGCTCCAAGCTGAAGAAAACAGTCAAATATCTTAGCAATGAAATGGGTTCAGTAGTACTTTTCTGCTGAGTGAGCAGCTTCATGTGTGTGTGAATCAGTGAATCACTGTTCAAGTTTGGAGTAGCACATATGTTGTGCTCTGCATTTTTTCTCACTAATTTGGGTCCATGCACCTGATTGTGTTCAGTGTTGGGGTAGGGTCAAGCAATAACCATTTGTCAGTCACAGGTTGATTTTCCCATGTAACCTGTGCACAAATCAATCCTGGGTACTACGCCAAATTAACCAGTGATTCGTAAATGGTCACTGCTCAAAATTACTAAAAGAGAATCCCCATTCTGTAGCCTGTCATGATGTCCCGCCAATCATTTGTACCAACATGATCCAGTTAGTCCATCTCATGAATGCGTGCAGCAACAACTATATGGTACAATGCAATGTTAAATAAGGTGTCTTCATATCATGCCTGATGAATACAATGCACATGACCCAGTCACCTCGGAATAAGTCTTCAGGCGAGTGTCTGCTTCGCTCTCGCAAGCGAAGTGGTGCTGTAGACACACAACATGGAATAGAGTGGAAGTTGAATGATATTCAATCAGCATTTCAAACAGGTCTGTATAGGTACTCAGTGCAGCAAAATACCTTGTCAATATTTGGCTAATGCCCAATTTGTGAAGGACAAATTGCATTTTCATCTGGTAATGCATGACTGTGCATTTTTCAGAACTACAGAATTGCTACCAAATAGGTCTTGCCATTCACTCATGCTTTTTATCCAGGGATGCTCTTTAACATGAACCAGAAAGATAATTTAATCATGAGTGTGCCAGTGAAATGTAATAAAAGTAAGCCATCCAATCAAGTTGCATGCTAGAGTCATATGACGGATTATACGACATCCAAATTCAATATTGCTGATGATCAAGTTGAAGCTGCCTTCTGAAATGTTAATGAGCAGTTAAGGAAGATGAAGATTATGCTTCAAATCCTTGAAATTGCTAATGGTGATTCCTTAACTTCTTAATAATTTGCAACAAACTTTCTGTGCATGTATTCCCATTCAAACAGAATCTGTTACAAACAGAATAGGGTTGATAAAACCAAGGCTTCGTGTTTTTCAGAAAAATTCTTGAACAGTAAGAGAGAAATACAGGCCTCTTCGGTACCTTAATTGCCTTATCTCTTAAGTCTTGAGTTTTGATTCATTACACCTAATACAAAAGTGCCATTACTCAACTACCCACCTGCATTCACTGATGATGCATATCTTGTGTGGATAGGTGGTTCCTTCTTTGCTGATGGTGTCCTGGATGCGCTCCGTGGATCTAGGTTATCTGGCTTGGTCTTGGTCAGTTCAGCCTTCAAGATCTCCTTACCCAGACCAGATGGCATCTTCTCTACTTCTTCCTTTATTGCAATTTCCTCCTCTTTCTCTTGCGCATCAAGTTCCAGGGTACCTGATATGAAAAACATGCACGTTAAAAAAAAATCACTATCTAACATCTTTGAGGATCATTCAGTCACTGCTACTGATGGATCGGACAAAATTTGGCATGCTTAAGAAACTACACTGAGACATTGCATGTTGGATGAAAGAAATCACAAGGTGCTGTCAATAGGCTCAAACTAAAGTTCATCTGCAGTTTTACCCTTTAAAGAGAAAAATCTGCCAGAAACCCTTCCCTTAGGGAGTAACTGAAATGCCACAAAAGCTGATTGGTGAAGGAAATGTCTGGAACAAGGCACCAGCACGTCCCTTCTTGGGCAGAATAGAGGCTTTCTCATCAAGTCCATTTACATGTAAAGTGGATATCTCAGGCAAGCTATTGCTTACAAAGAAAAAATGACACCCACAGGACCCAGAGGATCATATCCCAACTTCAAGGAGTAATACCAGACCTGCCAACCTAGCCATATTCCTTCCTGAGGTCAGGCATTACCACACAATAGATTGAAAATTTTAATGCACTGAAGGCTCATTTACATACCTTTTAATCTACTGTGTGGTAATACCTAACATCAGGAAAGAGTACGGCTAGGTCGGCAGGTCTGGTATTATGTTAGCAGAATTCACAGAAAAATCTTGTCCTAAAGCTGCACTGTAATTTTCTCATATATGCTAGTCTTTAATTCAAGACACTGTCTGCTTCAAACAGAAGATTCTTGCAGAAATGTTGAGATAACCTAATAAACTGTCAAAGAGCTACTAGCTACACGTGTGAACTTGTTAAATCAGTCTGCAGTCAGTGAATGGACTTAATATACAGGGTGTTTGAAAAAAACAATAATCCAACTATAAGGGGTTACTACAACCATACTATATACTTTTCAGGAAGGATCATGGTATCACATTAAAGTAGAGATTATGCCCGTTAAAATGACTCAAAGGTTTCTTCTCCAGGGCCAGCATGATTGAGCACCATCTCCCAGATTTTAGGGTGCAAAAATGTGGTTGGTTCACTTGCGTGATACCAAGCTTGTTTGATGGCCAAAATGAACATGCTAGGCCTATTGAATAAACCCATTGCATAACCAGACAAGACATTATTCACAAGCAAGGTGTGGCAGTTGGTCAAGTAAAATGCAACGAGGCTCAACAAGTGAACCAGTGCAGTTTGGTGCCATGATTTCAATCTATTGGTATTCACTTATGCAATAACCCGATTAGGCAAGAAAGGTGTCAATTGAAAGCTCTTATCCTCAATTTGATTGCTGTGGCCCTCAAAATGCTGTGTGAGATGCCATATAGCTATATTAACCCCTTCAAGTTGGATTACCTTTTTTTAAACACCTTGTAGAAGTGCCTCAAGGCTGTCTTATCTCTACAACTTTCATAGCATTTGATTGTGTTTCATCTTTTGACAACCCCATGGTTACAAAGTTTATGGATGACACAATCATTACTAAACTTATTCCACACTGTGAAGGAAATTACCATTCTTACAGTACAGTGCAATTGAAAGTTAACCCTGGGAAAACGACGGGGAAACAAAGAGAAAAGAATTCACATTCGCACTTGAATTTTGCATTTTGAATGCTACGTTTCCCCTTTGCAGTTGTATTGTTGAATTCACAGTGAATCTAGTGGGGAAATGTGCAAAAATGGTGTGAAAAAATTGCGAAAAACGGTGCAGAAATGTGTAAAAATAGCGCAGAGCGAAAAGTTTGCAAAAAATCTGAGTGCAAAAATAATGTGAAAAATTGTGTGAAAGTACTGCAAAAATAATGCAAAAACTGTGCAAAATTATATAAAAACGCAGTGAAAAAGGTGTGAAAATGTCAGTGTGAAAACCTGCTTGTCAAGGCCGGATAGATTCTGGGCAACGTTGATGTTAGAGGCATGGAGCAAACACACTCTCAACGGATGTGAGTTTGTGGTTGTGTACTGAGCCTATGTGTGTAGGGACCGACATGGGCCACTGGGCGCACATTGTGCATATGGATCATTTTTGTGTACAAACACATGGTCGCCTGACTCCCCATAGACAAGATGCAGTAAATTGATTTCTAGTCCCAGGGACCACACTATTTTTCATTGAGTTTTGCATGAATGGATAGGGTTTGAGTTACCTGAACTCCTCATTGAAAATTCCGAGAAAAAAGGTGAAGTTTTTCTGGAAATTTGATAGGCTAAAAACGATATTTTTTTTTTCAAATGGAATTTTCGAGGCTTTTCAGTACATTTACAAGAAACCAGGTATTGGTTTTGAAAAAATGGGTTGGAAACACCTTAGAAAGACTGAGGTTTAGATTGTGAATGGGGGCACATTTGACTTTGAAGTGCACTGTGATTTTCTAAATGGTAGTGGCCAGGTGGGCGAACACGGCGGCCAGTCAACTTGGTGTCCGCACGCGGTAGCCTCACACGTGCCGCTGTACACAGGTGGATACGGACTGCCTTCTGAGATTCTGTCTATGGGAATCAGTGTTTTTAATACTGCTTCTCCAAGATAAACAACAAGTATAATGATACTTGGTGGCTCTTCTGACTTTGTTCCTCTCAATTCTTACTAACAAAATATTGTACATTCAAACACAAAAAGTGTGGTTGGGGGATGTTTTGGCAACTGTTCAGCTACACGTACTTGTGAACTTCACACTTTAAAATTGATTTTATTGGGGCTGGTTTAATTTCCTTCTCAACTGGGTGAAAGGTGTTAACATTTTCCCATTTGTGAGAAATGTGTGAATTTTTTCCCACTTGAGAAAAGTGTTACCTCTGGGAAAAAGTTTTTGTACTTGTGAAATAAATATTCATTTTCTTGGATGGGAAAAAGTATAAAAACTTTTCCTACTTTTGAGGTAAATTTTCAATTGCACTGTACTGTATGCACATATACTTACCAAGTGATTTACTCCACCAGCGTTTAATGATTGGAGGGAATGGTGGTCCAGGCCAATCTTCTCTCTCTACCTTAGGTAGCTCATTAGGAGGAGGTTTCTTGGCAGCAGGAAACTTGGATGCCTTAATGAGATCGACTGACAGCTCCTCATCCTTAATTGGCTTAGGTTTGGGCATAAAACTTTCAAATGCACTCCTGGGCCTAGGCCGACCAGCACGTCCTATCAACAATAAATAAACACTCTCAAATCAGCCATGTTACATAGATCAAAAACAACTTCAGCTACATGTACTTTTGCATGTGCACTTAAGAAGACACAAGTATAAAAAAAAATAAGCCATTTCAGTGTTTGAATAATGCATGCTGAAAATAAAGGGCATTGTAGGTCATTTGGCATAACCAATATGTGCAGAAGATGATGAGTGGCCACTGACTCACAGACATTGGACATGTTTAAGCTGGTATAACGTTAAGTACAAGGTTTTTGGTAGCACCATTCAAAATATCTCTTTATGTGAGTACATGAGGCTCTGATAAGAACCAGAAGAACTCAACACTTCAAACAATATGCTCTGTCCATCATCAGGAGAGTGTTAATAATGGGATGGATATAGGCACTCCTTTTAATTTGGCATATTGTAAATAAATATTCCCAAAGACCTTGCCTAATTTAAATACAGTGTACTGAGTTGACTTGCTACAGTAAGATTTGAAATTTCATAGGTACACAGTGGTAAGCCAGTCAGTCACAAGTCAGGTCATAAGATAGGGCTGCTTTCTACTTACACAAAATTTGTTCACATTCACTTTCCACACACATCTGTACAAGGGGAAATCAATCATGAGTGTTGGCACTATTTGTCTAGGTGGAATGCAACCCTCTTCACAAGTAACAGTAACATACAAGGACAAATTGAAGGAGTGCCCTTATCCGTCTCATTATTTATACTAACTGCAATTGCACATTACATATTCACAGATTATGAAAATTAGCCAAACACTACCAGTAGCTACAGAACTCATTGTTACAATCATGACTCTTGTATTTGTTGCACATTGACAGGAACTATGTGTAGAATGAAGGAAATGACAAGGAATATAGCAAAGGTTTTCTTTCAAGTGACCAATTCAATGGTTTCTCACCCTGTGACCATTTTTTAACCTGCTGAGGTGTTACTCTGGGCTGCTCTTTGTAGTTAAACTCTTCTCCTGCAAGAACAGATTTTGAGTTAAACTTTACTTTAATACCAAACAACATTTTTCCCTCACTTAACAATCAGCAACACACAATGACTACTTTGTATCATCTACCGCTTTAATTTTTTAAAGGAAAGCATATTATGAGAAATGGTGAAAAAAAAAAGAATTATTTGCATGTTTTAACAGGCAGCAGGCAAGTCTAACACAGACACAGAGAGATACAGAGAATGAGGGGGGAGAGACATCGGCAAGCAAAGCTTCCATGCTCCATCTCAGTTGGCCATCTCTGACACAAATACCCATTTGTTAACAATCATAGTCAGAAAACTGCACTGAGGAAGAAGCAACACATTCATTTACTTGTTTTTCAGTTCATAAAAAAAATTTGAAGAATATCATAATTAAGAATTCTTTACTGGTAAAAACTTTCAATTCCATTTCAACTTAACAGTCATCTTGTAAGTACTTCACACCAGTCATGTTTCAACCTTCATGCGATAACTACCCAGAGGCCTTAGTACATATTCACACTAGTGAGTGACATACCCACTCTTTTTAATGTTTGCTATTGTTTTTCTACATTCACCTCTGTCTGGCAGCAGGGGGTGCCTGTATACAAGCTACAGATAATTTGCTTTCGGTACCTTCTGAAAAAAATATGCATGCCCCTCAAAAATTTCACTTTAACAGTTATGCTGCTGTCTGGCAAGTTTGCGGTGGTTGATTATGTGTGGTACCTTGACTCAACCATTGAATACAGCCTGTTGTCCAAGTAAATGTTGTTCTGAGGGGCATCTTCTCAATAGTAAATGTCTGACTTCATTTTCAAATCTGGCTGATGTTTCTTTCCATAAAAACCCCCAATTCAGCCAAATGTAATCCTGTGCATGGGGCAGCATTCAATGAGAATTCACCCCTGCTTTCAGTGGTTAATTTCAATGTTTGAAATGCCTCTGCAAGATGTCTTTATGCTACAACAGTATCTCATGACAGAAATGGCCAACCATGCAGCTTCCACTACACAACGACTACAATGATGTCACAGAACAATCAAGATACCAGGGGTAGAAACTTTGCATGAATACATAACAAGAATGTCTAATCCTGGACAGAGGTATCTCTACACAACTATACTCAACAAATAACTTTGAATTTTAGCAAATTTTTAGCACATAGGCAATGTCACTAAACCTGTCTCCAATAGCAGAGGATTGGTAGGAAAGTTGAAATCTTAGGTTTCTAAAAGCAAAATGGTGTATCTTCTTGGCCTTGCAGTGAGCAAGCTAAAATATATGTTCTTTACCAAAACCATTCAGACAGAAACTTCATAAACTTAATTCGGTGCTGCACTAATCACATCAGTCAAGTGTTTTAAAATGCTCTTTCTTACCAGAGTCAAACTAATCTCTGAAACATAGAGTCTTTACATTAATCAATGAATAAATACCTCTAAAGATGAACAAGATTAGAGATGTGAGGGTGCTGCTGGAAGGGCTTTAATGATCAAAGTCACTGGCTCAAAACTCAACTCAAGTCACTTTTTTGATCAAGTTGCTCCTTCAAAATGGCTTGACTTGACTCAGTTAATTACAGGAACATGATTCTACATGATTTGAGTTGTGGAAAGTGACTTGACTCAACTAGAGCCAGCAATTTAAGGGCAAGTTGGTGGTCAAAGCTTTCTCAGCAAATAAAGTTGCACGACAGGAAATACTTGTCCAAGTTAGATAAGCATGATGAGAGAAGAAAAAGTGTCTTCAAGAAGTTCAAGAGTCGTAACTATGCAGATTTTTGTCTGCATCTGTACAGATATCAGCAAGAATGAAGACATTCTATTAACCAAGAATTGTAGTTACAGTTAGTGAATATTCACAATATCACCTTAAAAACAGTGACAAAATGGTTGCACTGATCCATGCGACATGCAACACAAAGGATCATGAGAATGACACAGAATTACAAAATAAATTTATTTACCCTTGTTGACATATTCTGAAGTACGGATAAACAGACACACAGCCAGGGAATACACAGCCAAACAGCAGGAATAAAGAGAAATGTGAAAGGCAGAGAAAGAAAAAGGAAAACGAACATGAATTGACTGAATGAATGGATCATTTATGCTTTCTAGCGGTGGTAACCATTATGCTTCTATTTCAAAATCAAAGAAGTGTCGCCAGCCACCATGGTAATGCAAGTAAAAACTATTAATTTTATTGTCAATTTTCATGGCAACAGGGAAACGGGACACAAATCTACCCAACAATCTATAGAGAAACCTGAATGGAGATAGAGATTTAGCATTTACCCCAACAGTTTGATTCACATTTACAGCCCTTACTTAAATAACTCCTTGGACAGTCTCTCTAAAATGTGACTTTCATCAAATTTCTGAGGGAATTTTTTTATTATTATTATAATTATTTTGGTTTCTTTTTCTTCAAAGTTTCAACAGAAAGGGTAACATCAAAGACCTCACAGGATATCCTGGGGGGGGCATTAAAGAACATACTATGTAGGTTCAACATATCTGAGTGGTTTGGGAATTCTTTGTTTATGACCTGTAAGGTGATAAACAAGTAATAGTTTGATGCACCATGGTTACCAAAGCCATATTAATCTGTTTCAGTGTACCAGTGGATAGTTTCACTTTCTCTTCATCAGCTGATAGCATCTATATTGTACCTATAAACTTCATATATGGTGGTAATGATTGCAAATGTATAAGGAAAAGATCCATTACCATCAATTCAGGGTAGGATTGTTCAACATTACCATTCAATGCTTGGCAAAGACACTTCTTAGATACACTACAGTCCAACAAAACAGGCTGCTGCAATTGGATTTGCATTCATGACATATGGCATCAAACCGAATAACCTGTAATGACTGGCCATGAAAATGAATGGTCAAAACAAAATGCTTGTGATTAACTGTCTACAATGTGTTATGGTACTGTATAACTCACCCAATGCGTTCACATCATAGCTATAACCATGTCAATGCACAAACCAACGAAAAGCCCCCCTAATAATGACCTGAACAGACTCTTACAGACTCTTTTGCATGCCGTTCTGTCAGTTAAAGAATCCAATACTGTTTTCATAGACATTGTTCAGAACCAAGCAGGATAAATGGGATTATGATGAAAAGGTAATTTCGAAACAAATACATGTAGAGGGTTTGCCTGGCTGTCACCATACAGGCCAGTGCTTTTGATCCACAGGGTAAGCACAAAAGAGGTTTCACTATGGAACAAAAGAACTGCCCTGCAAGATGGCGACCATGCAAAGCCTCTATTAACAGTGTGTTCTTTTGGGAATTGTTCAGCATGTTTACGAACATGAAGCTTCATGCAAAGCAACCATTTACCATGAATTTAAACAATGCTTGAGTCATTCACACAAAATGCACAATCCTCCAGTCTTGGCCAACCTTGGCTGGACTGAAAAGAGTATTAGCATGGAGGAAATTGAAGTTACCATTCTAAAAGAAAATTCAGTTCAACTATTTGCATCATATTTAAACAGCTGTAACACATTCATCTATGCTACTATGTTTTGTGCAACAAATCCGACTACCAAAATTTTTCCTACATCAGAATTGTTGGCTTTTTACAATAGCCTACTTTGCTTCAAAGTGATACACATACATGTATGTGAGCCTCAAACTGGACCGAGAGAGGGTGCAATTTTCTTAGCAACAGAAGCTCCTTTAGTTGAAACTGAACTTTGCTGGTTCACAAACGACTATGAAATGCACGCAATAAAGTTGCATTGCTACCAACAACATGAACTCCCTTGACCAATATGGCTCTTTCAAACTGATTAAGGGGTGCTTCTGCTCAAGGCAGCTAGGATAAGACATCTTAATGAACAGTCTGCTGTGTAAGTTATAAGGCATTGAAAAACGTGTAAATGTACTTTTAAACTGTAATATCTCAGGGATGTGAGTGGAGCATAAAAAAGCTGACAATAGCTGAAACTGCAAGTGCAAAACACCAAACATATACGGCATGGGGTCTGACTTTTTAAAAACCTTGCAAGCATGTACAGGAACTCATTATTATTACAAATGTTAAGACTAACCTCAATCAGATGTACGGTTTTGTTGTTACAGTCATTGAAGTTCATGGCTAAATGCATGTCAGCACGCATGTACTGAGCAAAGATCATATAGCGCCGAAGGTGCAAGATGGATAACTCTGTCCAAAAGATGTAATTACCATGGGCGGCATTTGAGCAAGCGATACGCCTGCGCAGTTTACGGTAATGCTTAGGCGCAGGCTCACTAGGTGCACATGGCTGCCGTGGCGCCTGTGCATTTATGGCGTATCGCTTGCTCAAATGGCGCCCATGCGATTACAACGTTTTACAAGTATTCACGGTGAAGTTCGCCATCTTACGCCACTTTGTGGTGCTATATGATCTTTGGTACTGAGTACCGCAATGAAAATGAATACATTTTTGGCTGACCCGTCTTGGAAAAATGCACATTGTGTGAGAACGGTTATGTTCAATTTTTGGAAAAAAAGATGTTGAAATGAAACTCCTGAAGGCTCAGGTCCTTAACAAAAACTTCACTGCGGTGATATCAGAAAATGGGATGAGGGGTGGATTCTTCCCCCTGGCTGTTTTAGGTATACACAAATTTAGAACTGCGTCTGAAAATCAACTTGGATACCAACCTGGTCGGTGAAAGTTGGGGCTTGTTGGTGGCTCAGCAGAACTTTGTAAGACTCTTGGGTAGAGTTTCGTGGCATCTACAGCATCTGGTGATAGGTAACTCTGTGCAAAGTCAGGACTTTGTGGGCTAAGGCTGTTGGATGAACGGGTTGGGGTGAGGGCTGGTGAGTGGAATCGACTACTGCTGGGAGATAGAGAACGAGCTCTGGGTGATGTCTGTCAAGAAAATAGGTATAGAAAAATTGCAGCATGTGTCACTGAGGATATGTGAATGGTTTGTTAAACATTTTGTTGGGGTCTCATCATATTCCCCCACAGAAATGTGGTGTGTCTCCTTGAGAATACTTCCCTGAATCACCTACAAATTCATTATTTCCCTTACGCCAGCTAGCCATTTGCTAAAACTTAATCAACTGCAATGTGCCGCACTCATCTTCCACAATACAATGTATCATTGCCGCTATTGCTGTTCCTTTTTGATTTGTTTGGCACAACTTATGCCACCTAAAATGACTGCGTAAGTTATGCCATAATTTGTAGCACAAGTTGCAGACTCACCAGTGCATAAATTTTGTGAAATTACTCTCAATTCACTGCACAACGTACGCAATAAAATGTGACGTAAGTGAAATTATGCCAGTAAGTAAAATTTCATGAAATTGGCTGTGGGACAGGTACCATTTTAGGGTCTGGACTGGGTACCAGTGTTTATCAAACAAGACTCCTAAGTCAGAGGTGATGTTTGGTATGACTATATCTGGAGGTTCAAAAATGGGTGACTGATTTTTGGTCTGGAACCGCAGTGCAAGGATGAAGCAGGCTCCGTGGGATTCCTGACATATGTGTCCCATGATGATAGAAAGTGTGCGCAGGTCACTTAACCGGCGAGATGTCATCACTGATGGGAAGATCAGTTTCATGCTGACATGTCTAAGAGAGGCTCAGGTAACTGGTGCAGGAGTGGTTCTGTAAGCTGTCAAAGAACCAGGCCGCAAGCTCCAGGACGTACATAGATGGTAATAAATGTTCCCGATAGATGTTCAAAGGCTGTGTTGTCAGAGATGTAGAGTCATCGTTAAAACTGAAGTGAATTGCTGTGATAGCTGAATGGCAATAACAGATCGTGGCCACTTAAAGGCCCAAATTATAAAGATGGAGGAAAGAAATCAGTAATGGTAGTTATCAATTATGGAGGACTCAAGTCCAGACTCAAGATCAATTCTTTTGGACTTGTGACTCAGCTCAGTCTTGGGTTGTTTTAGACTCGGCTTAGCTCAGGCTCGGCTAGTGGCTGACTCAGATAACTTACCAGACTCGAATCAAATCCATTCAAAAACTGTTTTTAAAATTCAGAAATTTACTGGAAAAACTGTTCGCATCTGTTGTTCATAATTGTTTGGTTACAATCCATCATTTTTGGGTCTAGGATAAAGGCAAGCAAGTGTAAAAGTCGCACAACCGATTTGACAAAGTTGCCTGTGCAGTGCAGCATAAAAACGTTTTTCATGAAGGATTGACTTGCTCACAGTTAATTTTCCTCTTGTGACTTGTGCCAGTCATCATTGTACAACAGATTAAAAGTGACAGTGACACTGTAATAAACTCCTTCATACACACAGCTGAGACATAGTTGATGCTTCATTAACGATCATTTTTTTACTATGTAAATATAGAATGTTTGGATTACATTCCGTACACAAAAAGTTTGTTCATCATTTTGGAAATCACTGGACAGGTGTAAAATTTTGGATATGCTAGGACTGGCATAAAGTTTTTAAGCACCTGACTAAATGAAACCGCGTAAAGAAATACGCTAAGTTGACTGGTGTCCTGTGCACCTTTTTATACACAAGTTCATAGGTACACGTACAGTAAATTCTGCACACACGCATGCATCATGTTTAGTCCTTTGCCTTGTGCATCTTGCCCTCACTGTCAAATCATCAAACATGTCCGTCACAGATAATCTATTACAACAAGCCATCAAGAAGCAGCCGGCCTTCGGAAAGCAAAATGCAAATTCTGTGGCAAGGTGTGCACAGAGAAGTTGGGAACAACTTTGTGCGGCACCTTCGGATTAAGCATCCTTCAAAATCAATAGGCCTTCTGTACAGTCTAGACATAGGGCGGCGGTCAAATCAGTCTGTAATCAACTTGTTCCGAGTCAACTCGGAGATATTGTGCACAAAAACTTACCTTTTCTATATTTTCCCAAAATAGTCAATAACCAGGCCTTTATGAAGAAACGGACAAGACAGAGTCTCATCTAAGTTTATACATAAACAGATTTTTTCAAAGGAACCAGGTTGACCATGGACCGAATTGGTTACGGACCAAGTTGACCGTATATAGACCCGTGAACGTATGTGGTTTTTCACAGTCACGGCTACTATCCTGATTCATTTCAAATGCTTTCCAAAAAAGAGGCAAAGGAGTTTCTGTTTGAGTCCCAGAGTGGCAGATATCCTATGCAACTGAAAATTTTGGATAGTTACTTATATAAATACTGATCCTGCTTGTCAAATTTCGGGCTGAAAGAGAAACTTTTGAATGGATCATGCTTGTGGCACAGCAGTGTATACCATATTTCTGTGTTTCCAAATGCCTTCAATTCAAACCAATCTTTGGTGTCCGGGATTGGGATCAGGAGGGCAATATTGGGACTCGGACTCGGCTCAGACTCAACAACATGGACTCAGACATGAGCCAGAGTCTGAAAAAAATGGACTAAGACTTGGCTCGGACTCGGACCCTCGAGGACTCGGTTTGGCTCGGACTCCATCACTGGTACAGTAGTTATACATATATCGGTTCGTGAATAAAATTGCTCTATGCACCAATTACTGAAATGCTGCAGTCAACTGTCATATATCTCACAGGCAGCGATGTCGCTAGAAGGCCTGCCACCATGAAGGATCACTGCACAGGACCAAGAAATCAGGTGTAGATCCTGTGACTGTAGGTGCAGAATCCTGGACTTTGGTTGGAAGAGGATATCAGCTTGTAAGAATAAGTGGTGGATGGACGATCAATCTAGTAAGCTGATGGAACTACAATAGGCGTGGCCAAAACAAAGCAATATAGCTTTTGCTATATCTAGCAAGTACTTCTCAGGAATTGAGTTATCAGTGGGAAGGCAAATGTAAACACGTCATTTCAACTGATTGAGAGTGCATCTGTTGCCCATGCCTGTTAAAGAGGCAACCTGAAACCGAATACCAGACAGCAGATATTTCCTGTTGATGTGAACTGGTCGATATAAAGCCTGCCATGTGCGGCAAATACTGTTTGGGTTACTTCCTGGTGAAGTGTCCACTCTGTGGGAAGAATTGTCCCTTGTGAATGGGCATCTGCTAGATTGCTTGAAATGCCTGGATTGTGGACAGCCAAAAGATTCACTGTATTGGCTATTGTCCAGCGGAGAAGATGCCATGTCTACAGACACGGGCTTGGTGCCATCGGGTGATATACACTATCACTGTCACAGTATGTGACCAGGGCAACACTGATTTGCCCTAGATTGTGGACTAGTAGTAATAGAGGGTATTGGATATTAAATGACGATCCAGGGCACTGATGTGAGGGCCTGGAAAATGAAGACTCAAAATAAGCCTACACTAGCTGAGAGGGTATTGATGCTCCCAGCCTGACGTCGACCTATCGGTGGTGATCATAATCTCTGGGAGTGACCATGGAAAGTGAAGGCTGCTGTTATGTCCACCAACAAAGATGTGAATGGAGTAGCAATGGTATGGGATAAGATCTACAAGGCTGGCCACAAGCCAAACTTGGCATAATTAAGTAAGATCAATTGTTGATTGATGAGATAGAGACCCTGCTATGTAGTGATGAAGGTTGGCAACGGAAGCTTGAGTTGAATACGCTTTTCTGATATTGGGGTGGTTCCAAGGAAGACAAAAATTGATTTCATGGAGTTTACTAGAAATCCCAGTCATCAAGATATTGGAAGATCATGCCATCTTTGATGAAAAATTGCCTGTGTGATTGTTTGAAGCGTCATATTGGAACACCGAGGGTGAATGAATTTGTTGAGTGGTTGCAAATTGATGATTGGACACCATTTGTGTGAATCTTCCTTCGAGGTCAGGAAAAAAGTGGACTGAAAGTCAATGTTATGAGTGTCCAAAGGAACTATTCTCACGGTTTCTGTAGGATATGCATATCCTATTCTAAGGCTTGATGTTTATACACATTGTTCAGGAATGGAGTTGGACAAGGCCAAGGGTCAGACGTGAGGTGCCTGAGACAATGAGACAGACATGTAACAAATTGTCATAAACATGATCTGCAGTTATTGCTGGTTGTGACTTTTGGTCAGGCACTGACAGGTTCTGAAGTGCAGACCGGCACAGACCCAGTAGGGTCATTTACACCAGCATCTGAAGCAGGATGCACATGTCTTACTGTGGAACTGAGTATCTCCTCATGGGATACAGTTGGTTTAAGTTCCCACTGGCAAGTCTGAGGAGGTACAAAGTGTGTGTGGGTCCCACACAAAAGAGGGTTTATATCAAACAGGTCCTTGGGGGAGTGTTCATGTACCATCAAAACATCTCTACGCAGTTACATGTACATTGTACAATGGTCTCTGTCAAACTTAATCTTCCACTGTGACTGGGGCCTGTGAATGTGTTCACTAGCACTTTCTTTTGTGTTTGTAGTTGTTACATAGTTCCTATTGAGAACCAGTAAGGCAGAGTGGCTGTTGGGTATTAAAGTCAGTTAACTAGTTTGTGGCGTGATCATTTTACTGTAGCCGACTGGCAGTGGGTGGGAAGAGTATGACAATGGGGGTCCTTAGTTTTTCTTCGTTTGTGCAGATAAGTCTCTGAAAAATTTATTTTTCCCCCTCCCAACTCTCTTCTGGCTCTCTATTTTTGGGTTTCCTACAAATTTGTGCCTGTCAACTTGTTGACTTCATTTTTCATGCATGGGCCATACCCCAATATTTTAATGTAAATGTGCACTGCATATTTTATTTCAGTATTAATGGAACAAGTATGTGGTAAATGTCCATTTAAGACCAACTCAGGAAAATGGACACAACCAATGAACGTTCATTAGTTTAAGACCAGCCAAGTACAAGCACATATTTATTTCCATTCATAAATACCTTTTTAGTTAGAAAGTCAAAGAAGTCAGTCTACGATGGATTTCCAATGAATTTGTTCTAGAAATTTACTTTATTTTCCTGAAATTGTATGATACATGTATATTCTTTGTGGGTATTCTCAGCACTTCTCAGCAGGCATGTTAATACATGGTCAAGTTGCCCATTGTTGAATAAGGAGACTGTCCGAGGTATTTATGAATGGTTTATTAAAGTTACATTGTGCTGTTGTGGGTATTTTAGAGTTTGCCCCTGTTTTTGGTTAAGTTGGTTAAGTCGCCGCCCATCTGGGTTTCATTACCGCTCAGTCCTTACAGTATCAAGAACACGAAGTATAACATACATCCTGACCTGTAACGCATCACTGAATTTTCAATCATAGGCATTCAGATGAAACTTTCATTACAATGTGGTTTCTGTGGTCTCCCTTACCAATCTGTTACGATTGTAATCATACAGCACGGCATTCTCCTTCAACTTCAGGGGTGACAAATCTATAACCTGGGGAAAAACAAAACAAATAATCTTACAAAACTATTAGAAACCAAATGCGTAGCCTCTCAGACCATAAACTTATTTATTAAGCAAGTAACAAAAATAAGTTCCATAAAAAAGTGATCGCAAACCCCAGGTTCATTCACTAGCCTCCCTTTCCAGAAATATTGATCTGGATGTTTCTGCCAATCAACTGTTCCTCCCTAGGAGGAGAGGGGTGTGTTATAAAAATAGTGTCTGACTGGGACAGAGTCCAATAAGTAGATATACTGAGGCATGGCCAGATTTAGCTCAGAAAAGAACTCATTTCTGCAACACAAAGTACAGTACAATGGCGCTATACCAAACACTGCAATACCAAACAAATGGGTAAACTGAACATTCCCCATGGCGCTATACCAAACACTGCAATACCAAACAAATGGGTAAACTGAACATTCCCCATGGCTCCTGAACTTTCTGTACACTTTTACCCAAATTAGGAAACTTGCTTTAAATGAAAGAATGTAGTTATGTTAGCCTGAGCTAACATTTCTTATCTTGCTATTTTTAGACATGTACCATTGTGGCTGTGGTGTTATAGAATGGTTCCCGGCCCATCTGTTACAGTTCAAAATGTAGAAGCAAAAACCAGTGAAACCATACTGTATGGTATATATTTTTAAGTGATGACGAAAAGAAAAGTTGATTTTACTTCCTGGTTGGACTTCCAGTGAAGACTACCCAAAAAGGTTAAATATGGAAGGATAAGAACATACACTGAATAAAATGCAAGAATATTGGAGTTAATTCTTTGAACTTTTTTGCCAGTAAGCTGGGAAAGCCAAAAAACCCTCATGCAGACACATTCGTGAGGCAGGCCAAAGCTGAAAACTGCTACACTGTGTACGTAACATTTTGTGTGGATCCCATCATATTTTTATAGCGGTGTGATACTGTTGTGAAATTGGAAATGAAAAAGTTTTAATCAAATGTGCTTGAGATTCGACTGAGCTGAAAAAAGGTCCATGATTAGTGCCACGCCCGAGCAGATTTTACACCTACTAGTTTAAAACCAACCCATCACATTTACTTCCATCAATAAACATCCTTTTGGGTGAAAAAGTGCAAATAACAGCCATATTTTTCAAAATAATTTGTTCATGAAATGTTAACTAGTAACCCCTCTAGCCATATTAGCCATGTCACCAGCTTAGGGCATGGGGGCAGAATACAGCCCAGCAGGGCACAACACCAATAATTTTAATGCTTATGGTTTTTGCTGATGGGGTCAGCGGCTTGCTGGGGGTGCCACCCATTCCCCTTTATAACAGCCTGAGCCGTATCTTTGTTACCGGTATATGTCTTGCTTGCACGGTAAAAAAAAATCTCTTTATATGGAATTGACTAAATGGTGCATGCCACAAGATGTGATGCAAAACACAGCTAAGCCATTGTAGAGTGAAATTTTGACTCAATAAATTGTTGACTTATTGTTTGGTTTGTGCACGCCTATGTGATGTAACGCTGTCATGTATGTGGACTAGACCCATAATACTAGGAGTTACAATTTCATATGAATCCAAGAAAGTGTTAAACCAGGTGATACAACCCATGAGATGGGCTGTTGGCCAACAGTAATGAGTATTACAACTGAGGAATTGACTGAATCTCCAAGCATTCAACAGCTGGATCTTTAAACATCAATATTGTAGAAAAAAGAGTATTTTGAAAACAGTGCAGTAAGTAAGCTCCAAGGTTTGGTTGAGTTTGGTTGAGGTTCAGATGCTCAAATTAGAATATCAAAAGGCTCACAATAAGCCCCCTTAGTTTATGTCTGTGGGATGATGCGTACCTGAATAAATGTCATCAATGAATTTCTTTTTCTCACCCCCATCTACTATTAACTTCCATTTCATCACATTTTTTCTGAACTGTTTCTCCAAAGCTTATTTTGGAAGTTAAAATTCCAAGGAAAGTTACAGTTGATTGCCTGACACGTTTTAACCATTTTTTGCAGACAAAGCAGACGTGTTTTGACACAAAGATGTTCAAATGGGGATTTCCTGCTCCGAGGAATATGTGATAGAATAAGATTTTGAGTGAATGTTTATTTTGGCATTGTTCACAATACAGATTCCACAACCAGCCTGTAAATTTCGAACAAACTTGATATCAAGTCTGCATTCTTTCCCAGGACAGCATGCATTGGCTTATTAATTACCATGCATATAGATGTCCACAAGGCCAACTGGGCAAATTTTCAATCAGTCCTCATTCTAATGGATCAACTACAATTTGTCATTTGGGATTGCAAAAAGTAAGAGATCTGGTGAAATTTCCCTTTAGAGAAGAAATAGAATGACTATGACCCAATGAATGGCAACCACACTGTTGCTCTTTCCTTGAATGCATTCCCTGCAATATCCCAAACATCCAAAACAACAGCTTACATGTAGTTCGGTTTAGAAGTGCCATGATTAATGATTTTGGTTTGGTTCAGTGGTCCAGTGGCAAAGATGACTGTATGCTACTTGTTGCAAGCTTGTTCCAAATGTAACCATTTTATGACCCAATTCTTCAAGACCAAGATGTGATGTCCTTTTATGACAGTTGACCATCAATGCCTTTCAGTATTAAGCACAGTGAATTTCTCATTCTAGTGTTAAAATCACAAAGGTATACATACTTACCTTCAGGCTTTTACTGCAATCTGGGTGCCATATTTCAGTACCTATGAATTTTAATGAAATATAAACATACTACCTTACAAAAAATTCTTTTACAATCTCAACACATGCTTTGAATTGAATATGTATTGCTTGTGCTCACTGGGTGAGACCATTCACTGCAATTTCCTCTCTCTAATTGAATGCCTTTTGGACTTGGCATGAAATAACATAGCTGTTGCTGCAGTAACACAGGGTGGGTGGAATAGCTTTACCTGGTCACAGTCTGTTAACATGAAGCCAGCCATGCATATTATTAAAATACCATGCAATGTCATTACCACAATCATCTCACACAGACCAAGGCTACACCAAATTAATTAATCTATGTCTCTTTTTTGACAATAACATAATTTCACATTTGATGATAACATCACTGCATGTTTGTTGAAAGTGATCAAAAAGGGGCAATATCATCCATGCCACATTTTATATGATGAAGTTATGTTATTTAAATGAATAGTATTTCCCAAAGATCATTTCACGTGGCTTTGCCTCATGAAATGGAAGTCTAGAATTTACATGAGATAATATTCCTCTCATTCCACTCTCAGCCATTCAATATTATATGCAAATGTAACCTGGTGTTAAGTTGTTGCATTTAAATCCATCAGCCAAGGTGATGATACAAAATGACCTAAGATGAAAACACAAAAACATGGGGGGGGGGTGCAGCATCCCCCCAAGAATCTGGCTGTACCATGCTTGATTTTTTAAACTTGGTGTGCATGTAAAGACACTCCTTATCATTACAAAGGAGAAAGTTGAAGTCAATCAGTCATATGGTTTTGTTTTACGGTCATTTGAAATTCAAGCTTAAATGTATATGTGTGTCAGCCTCCGTGCAGTCAGCACTGTAAATGAAGAAATATACATTTTTTGCCTACCTGTCTTAGAAAAATGGGTGATGCACAAGAACGGTAAGCTCAATTTTCACAATACTGGTGTAAAATTTAATACAAAGAGTTACTCTAAAACTCCTAAAGTTTTGGCTCTGTAAAAATATGCAGTGACAATATCAGAAAAATGTTGAAGTGGGCAGATTCCATCCCGTCTACAGCTCTTATAGGGTTAAAGAGTAGTAAAAACAAGCCTCATGAGGTGATCCCTTCAGTCTATTATCATCCTGCAGTGAAGCTAAGGGAAAATGGAAAGTTCAACACATAAAGGGTGGGGGCTAGCTTTTATGTGTCGCAAGTTTCAGCAGTCCATACTTTTTGTAACATCTAATCCAAAGATTCTGGTTGTAGAGATATCTCATTACTTAAAAGTCGTTTACACCACTTGTCAAATTTCAAAGTTGGGACTACCAAATTATCTTTGAAGTAAGTTAATTACAGCATCAGACAATCTGTGAAATCTTTCCGCATGGAGTACTGCCATTTTCGAGGAAAAAGAAATTTTTTCCTTCCGGATGATCTTTGGGAAATACTATTCATTTAAATATCACAACCATTACTGGCCGCAACAGAAATGTGCATGGCGCAGTTGGAGCAGTCTATAAATTAATGGAAATAAAACACATTATGAAACTGGACTTTATCACGTTTGAAACTATCCCCATTTCACTATCACCCCTTTTAAGATTAAGATATGGTCCAAACTGAGCAGCGATGAACAACATTTCTGAGCTCTGTGGGAAAGCCTGTTTTCTTGAACACAATCTGTAATTTCCAGACATCTTATGTTCTGTACTTCCCAGACATTTTATATTCTGTACTTTCCAGACATTTTCCATTCTTATCAAAATCACTTTCACGCCCCAAATGCAAGAGTTTTTACAATATATGTTGATTTAAAAAATTTTTTACTTTGTCCACTGACGGCATTTGGACAGCTTTTTGACCGACGTACATATGACATAATACATGTGGTCGTGCATGTATGTCACTGTGCCATGACTGCAGTCACTTTACTGGACAATGAAGTGGTGTTTATTCTATGAAACCACTTCATAGTTGAGGGGAAAAAAATACAAACTCGAAGGTAACTTTGCCGACCACTACTCAAAGCCATGAAGAAAACCACTTTTAGGAACCACAAATGATCTGCAGTTGACCTTGCCTGTGCATTATGCATGCATTCAGGAACATCCTGTGATCAATGGATTTTTTTGCAAGACAAATAACACGAGCTGTGATTTGAATGTAAAAAATGACCAGTGTTTCTCTTAAGTTTTCACTTTGCAGTGAACCCAAAATTAAAGTAGGAAATGATGGAATCTTACACTAAGTACATAACAAGCCCCCAAATTGGCCAATTTTGACAAATGACTGGAAGTGCAGATAGTGTGTACAACGGTTCCTTTAAACCAAAGTCAATGCACTTCTATTTCAATTTTAAATTAACTTCAAAACTGACTCTTTTTTTAGAATTTAAACCACAATGCACTTTCAGCCAGTAAAGAATGAGAAATTATGTAGTGAAAAGCTATAAAACAGTGCACACAACAGAATTATTAAAGTGCATTTAATTAGAACAAAATAAAGGAATAAAAGAGTGACTTTTTGCAATTCCCGGGGAAAAAACATTTTCTTCACCCAACTTCAATACATCTGAAAGATTGATCAGTTTTCAAAAGTTCTTTTTTCTACACTTGAACAACTGAATATAACAAAGTACAATTGCTGTCTAAGTCACACAGTGCTGTGCTACATTACACAAGCACTAATATCTTATATACATGTAGAATACAATCAATATTTGGAAACCTGTACTATGGAAGCAACACACAGATAAAGCCACTACCACATGACCAGCTTACCCTGAATATACATATCCTCTCCCTCTGAGAAATGGCTTCCACATCGACCACACCTAGCACAGGTTGGATGGTATCTCTTATCTCCAGCCTACAATGAGACACAAACAGAGGGACGGACGATAAACCTTGAGCTGCGGCAGGAAATTTTGTGGAAACACGCTCACTTCAAGTACATGTACGAGCAATACAGCCTTAATTAAATTCATGGACACAAGCATTCTTTTATAGACAGCAGATCTACTTCTGGGGATTCTTGTAGAAATCTTCCTGTGACATCAACTTTTTTTTCATTGTGCAGCACTGCTGTAGAGTTGCATGTGTGTACATTTTAGTGTACAATGCTATCTGACCGGGATGCACGGACTGGTTGCCGTGTTACCATCAAGCTTTAATTGGCAGTGGCGCAGCACAGCGGAAACCAGTGAAGTCTTCGTTCTATGCATAGATCAAGTAATACTAGGTGCGTGTTTTCACCATTGCAATACCGAAATGCGAAGGGAACTTGTGAAAATGACGGAAGTTTCTTTCCAAAAGATGTGAATGTAAACAGAAAAACAAAAGCTACAAGCTTTTAGACATTAAAACAATTGTTGAGAGGTGTTGGATGAAGACAGAAAAGACAGAATTAATTTTTTTATTTTCTATTTCTTAAGTGTGTTTTTCTAACTTAGGGGTATAAATTTTACGGTCGCAACAACAAATTAGGATTGGTCACATAACCAGAAGCTGAACTACTTTTCTGGCCTTAAAAAGTGCATTTAAATCCAGCCAGACTGGCCAATCAGCCGTTTTGGTAGAAGTTTGACTGACACAAATGGGCATGTGTGGCTTGAGCCTGATCGATTTCATTGCATGTACTCAACCTGGACAATCAAATTTTCACAAGGGCCAGTGCGGTGCACTTCCCCACTGGCCCTGCGGGGCACCAAGAGATTGAAGTTAATTTTGACCCTTGCAATGACTTAGAATTGTAAAACTGCAACAAATCCAAGAAGCTTGTTCAGCATTTTCACAAGTTCGAAAGCTATACGTACATGTATACATAAAAGAACATGCAATGCTAAATAAATTAATAGAACCTAAGTGCTCTTAATGAAACCAGCAACCAATAAATCTGCTTCCATTCCTAAATAGTTCAAATAGTACCTTGAAAATCTTACTTGCCTTTAAGTTTCTCTACAACAAACTGTAACACATCACAGATTCCCTAGTGTACTGAAACTGTACCCAACCAGTGTGGCTTGAATTGCACCAGAAACCACTCATTCAATTTAAAATGCCATAATCTGGCCCCAAGCCCCAGGATATAAGAGAAATATGAATATCCCCAACAACAAGCTCAGACAGCCTGGTAGGGACTTCATAACTGTGTTCTTGTTCCTGACTACATCACTGACCTCTAGGGCAAATGCCAAGTAATAAATCTCAGCACCACCCAACACCCTTGTTTCAGAACAGAATATATGCTGCTTTTATTTTAAATCCAATTTTGGCAAAACTGTGGGAAAATACCTGTGTCCAAAACTGAAAGAACAGACTAGAACTAAATATCCTGCATGACAGTTCCCTGTGTACTAATTATCTTGAAGAATTCAATGTTAAACAGCAACTCCACACAGAGGTTACATGTAAAAAGTATCTTTACAACAACAGTAACACTGAAGAAAGCCTGACCTTGCCTGTAACAGATCATCAGTTTTTCAGTAGAAGGTCCTTATATTGAATAAGATGAATGACCATACTGGCTGTGACTGAACTGTTAAGAGTGCTGCAATATACAGCTACATTACAATGTACAGAATACATTACTTTGGTTAGCGAGAAAACTACTCTTGATTGTCCTGTCCTTTTTATAGCTCATAGAGGTAAACTCTCGCATATAACTTCTGCTTTAAAAATGGACCCAAACATGTTAAAATAACTTAAATGTTTACAAAGCTTATTGTTTCAAAATACAAATGACAGTATACAACAGTTTCAAAGTCCTGTCAAAATTTCTGAACTCTCAGTTTTAGGCTTTATATTGCATGATGTACACTCCTACATGCATATTTCATCTGTTTTCTGCAATAATATCGCTGGTCCTGGGTCTTACCTCCAAAACTCTCCCAGTGATGAACTGTTCACAGTGGCAACATCGCACTCCAAAATTCTGCTGATAGTGCTTTTCACAATACGGCCTCCCTTCTCTGAAATATCAAAGGATTGAACAATTTTCAAGGGATGAGAAACACAGCTCAACCAGAAAGCCATGAAGCAGTTTTCATTTCCCTAATTTCAATCTTGGACATTTATAAAATACACTTTCAACTACAGTGGAACACAGCTGTAACAAACACGACAGGGTCCACATAAAATTATCAGTACAGCGGTCATTTGAAATAGCAATTATTAGTCACATATGCACACAAACTCAAGCCCAATCAAACCAGTGGCTGCCTGCATGAGGTAAAAGAACATGCAAAAATAAAAACACAAAAACATTGAAATTTCTGCATTATGTTAAGAGTAGGTTACAGCATTGGTAAAATCCTCAAAATCGGACTGCCATATAATCCCAGAATATCTTACTTAAAAGAAAGTGCCTGACAGCCTCAGTCAGTTTGCAAAAAAAATTCTGCCCAGAACACTGTAGTTTTCGAGAGAACAGAAACTTTGTTCCCTTTTTTCACGATGGTCGCCCGACATTTCACTTCATACACCTCATTTGTTAACAGGCACCAATTTTCTTGGGCGTAGTGTTTGCAAATGTTGTGGGAGTCTCCATGAATGAACAGGTAACACTAAAGCAGCTAAAAATATACCAGCAGAAATTCACCGAACGTACTGTAAACTGAAAATTAGAAGAAAGCGTGTGTAACGTATAAAGTATAAAATAATTTGGATCAGTGTGAAGTTAAATTTTATTTAAGGATTTTCTTCACATGAAAACATTGCGAATTCAAAATCACCCCTAGAGCATAATAGTATGATCCAAATATGGTGGCCGTTTTGGAGCTGCCTAGAGGGTGTCTATGGCTAAAAAATACTGTTGAAAAATAGTCCTCAGTGCCCAAGAAAAATGAGGGTTGTCACTTGAAAAACGGCTGCAAGCAGACTTTGTAAAAATCACTTTTTGGGGGGGTAATTGAGGGAATAACTCAAAATGTAATCGGTTAACCCACAGAAAATTGAAAAGAAAGTAAAAGATTATAGACCATACAATAATTTAACGTGTGTTTCAGATGCCTCAGGGATGTTGGTACCCATATTATTGGGCCCCGAACAATGCTGATTTTACACTGTTTTCAATGGGGCCTGAATTGGTGGACATAATTCCCTCTTTGCCCATACATGTAATTAAGGGAATAAATATGTGCTTGGCCGGTCTTAAACGTTAGTTTCAGACCAGCCAAGTACATACATGTACTTGTATGTATTCCCATTGATAAATACCTTTTTAGTCAGTTTTTGGAAGCTTATGTACATGTCCGAAGTCAGCAAAAGAAATATCGGGCAAGCATTTTTGAAAACGATTGAAACTAACAAGACATTTATCAAATATTTCTGCAAATTAAGGATCAAATGCTAGGGTCTATCTGCATATTTATTTTTAGGTCAAACACCCCAGCTCTGTACTATTTGAAGAGATTATTTTACAAAATTTTCCACACTAGAGTCATCAGTGGTGCATAGATGTGCTTGTCAGCCAGTCTACACGGCCACCTGAGGACACACACATGCAAGGCTACCAAGGCTACCAAGAACAATACAGACTGCACCACATGTTGGCCACTGTTCTATCGTGAGTGCAATTTACCTCAACTTTGAGCTATTATCGTCAGTTCTAAATATCTTCCTTTTCTACAAAGCAAAGTTGTAATGTTTGGTAAAGTACACAGCAAATCTGGATGTCAAGGAGGATGCTCAGTATCACTTAATGTTCAATAAAGTTGTATTTATTATAAGGCCGTTCCACTGTACTATAAAATAGTCCAGAGAATAGCACCTATTTACCTGCCCATATATTCCCCACTAAGGAGCTTATTGCATACAGTACATTGGAAGCAGCCAACATGCCAGTGTTTATCCAGTGCAATCAGAGCTTGTCCATTCAAAATCTCTTTTCTGCAATGGGCACAACCTGAAAAAAAGAGAAAGTATGCCTGGATTAATTCTAACCATACCATGACAAATTCTTGTATGGACTGCCTACTTTAGTTGGTATTAATTACACTTTGTCAAAATCAAAGTCCTAAGCATATTTGGATTGGTCTTTATTGCTTACTTAACTCCTATCTAGTTAATTGCAGTAACTGCCTTTTTCAGCTGCAGTGCTCTCTGTGGCTTTTGGTGGGAGTGCAGCACTACTGACATGATCTTTGCTACCCTGCTACTCCAAAAAAAAAGGGAGACCTCTATCTGGCCTTTATCAACTGGACGGTAGCCTCTTTAACCTCTGCCTTCTTCAGGCCAAGACAAAGACCTTCACAGAACAAATCTCTGACCTCCACTATGCAGACAATGTAGCCTTTAATTCCTTCTCACTCAGCTTCTGGGTTGCAGAGGTCCTCTGATGCCACCATGGAGGCCTACAACATGTTGACCTCATAGTTAACACCAGGAAGATGCAAGCTCCACCCAGTGTTCCCATTGCAGCTGCACATGACTTCTCCATCAGTGCTGTGCAGCTTCGGTACATCAATAGCTTCTCCTACTTCAGCTCCATCTTCACCATCTCCTGTGATCTCACGGATGAGACCCAGTATCGCATCAACCTTGCCTTTGCTGCCTTTGGCCGTCTCACAAATCATGTTTCTCAAACAGAGCACTCTCTATGCGCACAAAGATTGCTGGGTACAAGGTTGTACAATGCTGTGCCGTTGTCATCCCTACCCTGCTTTTTGGCAACGAGGCATGGATCCTGTACCAACGACACGTCAAGATGTTGGAGTCCTTCCACATCTGCCGTATTTAACAGCTCCTTGGCCTCCAGGGGAGGGACAAGGTGACACACACCAAGATCCAGAAAAGAGCTGGCATAAGTTCCCTTGAGTCAGTGCTTCTCCGCGGACAGCTGAGATGGATTGGCCACGTCATCAGGATGCCTGCCAACTGCTTGCCCCGTAGAGTCCTGTGCGGCTAACTCACTCAAGGCAGCCACTCTGTGGGTGGGCAGAAGAAGCACTATAACAACCACATCAAGACCACAATCGAGAAGTGGGCTGTTCCATCTGAAGGACTGGAGATCCTGGCGGCCGACAGCTACTTGGTGTTAAACCTGTCACGCTGCAGCTGCCCACTTCGACAAGGCCTATGATCGTGCTGCAGACCATCACCGTGCCCGTACACACCAACACAACACTGCTCCTGCAATTCCACCTGACTCTGATTTCCACTGTCCTGTGTGTTCCTGAAGATGTGCTTATAGCACAGGTCTCTACAGTCACATGAGGAGTCACATGATGGACTACCTTAATTAACTCAACTCTGTGGCAAATCCTAGAAACAGATGCCTATAGCTTTTTGACGCTGGCCAAATAGATACTTGAATAGCTTTGACCAGTTCTAGTCTAGGGTCAAGTACATAACAGCATACATTTATGACAAGTTAAATGTAAAAGACCTAAACTTGATAGTACTTACGGATGGTTGCAGTAACTGCCTGTTTGGGTTTAGCACTGGAAGTCTTACTGAACTTGGAGCTCTTTCTTTCTTTGCTTGGCACTGTGCCATTGGCTGGACCCTCCATGGTAGCTGGAGTGCATTTTGAACACAGCACTTCATTGCCATTATATGTCACCTTCTCACCAGGTGCTATGGTAAGTCTGCATACAATAACACAAGACAAGAATTAATCTTTGATATAGGATGAAAAGACTACTGAGGGTTTGCATGGCTGCCATCTTACAGGCCAGTACTTTTGTTCCAAAGAGTATGCACAAAGGAGGTTTCTCTGTGGAACAAAAGAACTGCACTGCAAGATGGCTACCATGCAAAGCCTCTGTTAAAATTGCCCTTGAACATATCAGTTAAATTGGTTTGTTTTATCATCCAGACGTTGCTGCCGTACAAAGCCATGTGAAATCACTTCTGTGAGTTGAATCAAGCTGATCATTCAAACAAAGTAAAAGTGTGCAAAAACTGTCAACAAATGTCAATAATTTTACATGTACCGCAGCCTTACAGAATATCTGCTTTTGGAAAGTACTGACTCTGGTGTATTTAGAAACCCCCATCAAGAATTACGGGTAACCGATTATGTCATATGTTTTGAACCAGCTTTCCCAGGTTGCTAGCAGTCAATGTACATGTATGGCACTGCACACTAATACAATTTAATTACGCAGCATTCATATGACTGCAGCAGAACTTGATTGCCTTTTAATACTTGATAAACATAAAACCGCACAAGGCTAAAAACTGACAATAATGCATCAAGTTTGTCTTGGGGGAAGTTATACATCAGATACTATTATTCGTGTTTATGTGACTTTCTGAGCACATTACTTGATCCATGGAGGAAGGACACTTCCTCCATGCTTGATCTTAAAAAATGAGTACCTCACAAGAATGAATGAAAAGTAGTAATGTTAAAATGATCTTTGCAATTAATACATATTAGCAAGCCAGATGTAATTATTTGCTAAACATCTGCATAGAATTCCGTGTTCATACCTGTATGAAAACTAAAGCAATTAGTAATGCAGTTATCCTGTTGAACCAAGAGAAAATCTTTGTGATGAGTAATTAATTCCCTGACTTTCATAAAATGACCTCAACAAATTGTGGTAGAATCACTGTTCCCTTTCTGCATACTCTCTGTGAAGCCTAGTAGATCTTTTGATCAGGACACAAGGATGTTTTTACAGTATAAAGGAAACTACTAGGATCTAGCATTAAAAGTGAGAATATCAAACTACAGACGTAGGTGTGCAGACATCCAATAGCCTGGACTGCCAGAATTCTTGGGACATACACTGCTCAGGATGTCCGATGAAATTACCTTTGTCTCACTATGATGCCACAGTTGAAACATTCCTTGTTTAACAAGTAGTCAATGGGTTAATAAAGCAGGATTCCTTTTTCAAAAACATGCTATCATTATACATACACTGTTGTCAGCCACTGGGTCATCCTGATATTGTTACAACACCATGCTGAAACTCACTTTATACAAACACACTTTGTGTAAGGAATCCTGTAACAGGCTGTTTGCGAAAGAGATTTTATCAAGTGATAAAAGAAACACACTGTGAATGTGCTTTGATAAAAAAGGGATACATTTAAACCATGATCAATTTAAGTCATGCAGTGTTGTAATCTGACTCCACCACAAGTCCCTCTACAAGTCCCTCTACAAGTCCCTCTACAAGTCCCTCCACAAGTCCCTCCACAAGTCCCTCCACAAGTCCCTCTACAAGTCCCTCTACAAGTCCCTCCACAAGTCCCTCCACAAGTCCCTCTACAAGTCCCTCTACAAGTCCCTCTACAAGTCCCTCCACAAGTCCCTCCACAAGTCCCTCCACAAGTCCTTTCCGGTCATAAATAACAGAATGACAAAGGATCGTTTCTGACACAGTTTACATAAACAGGTTATGACTTAGCTCCAGAGTAGGTGACTTGTGATAGACTTGAGAAAGACTTGAAGGGACTTTTTGATAGACTTGATTACAACACTGCATGCAGATAAGATACATATATATTAATTTTGAGTTAATGTTGCATTGTTAAAAAGGTCTCAGAGTAAGGTGTCAACATAGTTTTCAAGGGCTTCTCTGAGGGTAGGGAGGAAACAAAGCAAAAATGGAATCACATAGCAGTTGAAAATAGCTAATCTGAGAGGGTCTAATGATCTTAGAGTCTCAGTAATTCCCCTGAACAGACTCCCAATGATTAATTCTTAAGCAATAAGCAAAACTACTGAGTCATTTCATATATTCTGATATCCAAGGATGTGAATTAATGAAGAAATTATTCCTCAAAAGGACTGTATTTTCAATGCCAAACATTGTGCATTATGAAGAAACTCTCAGAAGTAACCATAGAAAAAGGCTGAACTTGTATCGATCATGGATAACCCTGTTTGCGAATGGGAATGTTCTACATACATGAATGTACACCATTGGCATTATTGGTCCATGTGAATAGAGAAGCATGTAAAAATGTTGGTCATTTCATTGCAGAAATTACAGGTTGTGTGTGGTGAAAGTACATGTTTCAAGGGGTGGTTAGCAGGACTTGGGTACAGTTCTAGTGAAGGCACATGTTGCATTGTGCAGGATTAATATGCCCAAACATATTAGAACTTCACAAGAATGTAAAGAAATTCATTATCAGTAAAAACGTGAACTTTTAGTTCAATATGAAAATGATTTTGATGTTATGATCAACTGAAGTTCATGACCTCAAACCGCAATGGAAAAAATTTGGGCTTTTGCTGACCTGTTTCATGAAAATGTGCATTGTGCAAGAGTGGTATGTCCAACTTTAACAACAGTGTTGTAAAAATGACCAGAAGGTGTTACTGGAAAAACTCCAAGGATTAATGCACGAAAAGGAAAATGCAGATATTGGAGAAAATGTTGAAGGGGATGCTGTCTTACCCCCTTCCCTTCTTTCGGGGTTTATGCTCTTGGAATTATAACACATTTAAGTGACATGTCATATGGGACAAAGTTGGGCAGAGAAAATAGGCTTGTCTAATCCAAGTTTTGAAGAGGGTGACATGCTGATGTGTACGACTGTGTTTGTGAGTGTATTTGCCAGCCTGCACTTTAAAAATTCTTTCTGAAATCACTTATGTGATGATGTCTGGTCAAGGTTTTGATATTTAACTACATGTACACAAAACGGTGAAACTTATCCAGCTATGTACATGTACACAAAAGGAAAATTACATGCCTTTACTACATTTTCATTTCATTTTCAAAGTTCAAACTATTAGTTTGTATTAAAACTTTTTAGTAGTTAAACCCTTCGTGCTGGGACGCGGATAGAGCCCCCGTAAAAATTGAAATGCTCAGCCCGCTTTTCAGCTATTATTCTTGTCCCACACTTGAGTGAACACAGTGAAAGACGGCAGACCCTGGCTCTTGTATATATGGTAATT